CCCCTGCCGGCCTTGCGTCGCTGCGGGCGCGGCAGCTGAGCCGCATCCCGGCCGAGGAGCGGCCGAGGCCCGGGCGGGCGGAGCCTGGCCCCGCCGCAGGGCCGGGCCTGGGCTGCCGGCCGCCTAGGGTCTGGGGGACTGAGGGCGCAGGGCGACCGCTGCCGGCGCTGAACCTCGCGGATGGAGGAAGCGTCTGGTGGGCTTGCACCTGTCAGTCGGGACAGGACGCGGTCGCCCGCCGCGAGTGGCTCGTGTGACTTCGCTCCACACGACGGTTTTCTGCTTCACACTTGGAAGGGGGCTGTACGAACTGTCGAGAATACTCACGAGGGAGGGACGTTCTCGACCTTCAGCCAGTTCTGCCCAACCTCAGATGCAAGACGTCAGCGTGCTTCCCAGCCACAGTTTAACAACCTCTTCTGCTCAGAATGAGCAAAGATGATCAGAATCCTATTCCTGGCCTGTGAGCCATTTTGTAATCTGCAAGGCTAGTTAAGAAAATTTAAAAGTTCGTTTCCTTGCCCGTAGTTCCTGCGGTGAGGGTAGTTTTGTGGCCTGCGGGCCAGCTCTGGAGCCAGCCTGAGTCCGAATCACAGCTCCCCCGCTTGTTAGATCTATACCGATGTGCAAGTCACTTGATCTAAGCCTTCGGTTCTTTAGCCGTGAAATGGAGATTAATATTTGCCTACTAGTTATCCTGGAGATTAAGTGAACAATGCTTACAAAATGCCTGGCACACAGCTGAGACTCAGAGTGGCCGTTATAGTTCTTAAGTTCCAAATTCAGGATTCACTCAGTTTCTCAAAAAGTATTCTTCCTAATTTTTTCCTTAAAAGGCTTCTAGACTTCTGAATTTCCAGATCGTCCCCTCTTAACAGGTGTTCAATTTTCAACCAGGAATTCAGGAAAAAAAGAAAAACACTAATTTCTTGACTTTTGAGTAATTGCTGAAGATGGTATCACCTGTTATTCACTGCTTCAGCTTGCCTCTCCCAGACCAGACCAACTATATGTCTAGAAGATTGTAATTGATGGCTTAGAACACAAGAGAGTTTGGAATCTAACAAAGTAGTTTGTATTCCTGAGGTATCTGTCGGGAGGTATTTATTTCAAATGCTGACAATAGCTGGGGCTGGGCAAAGACAGAAGCCAATGCCCAGGCGAGCACACTGGTGGTACAGAGGTTAAGCTGCCATTGGGGATGCCCACACGCATACTGGAATGCTAGTTCAAGTCCCAGCTGTTCTGACACAGCTTCTTGCCAATGTGCCTAGGGAAGCAGCAGATGGGCCCCCTGCCACCCTTCTAGGAGACCTGGATGGAGAGCTGGCTGTTGTGGCCATTTGGGGAGGGGACCAGTGGATAGAAAACACATCTCCTTCTGCCCTCCCCTGTCACTCTTTCAAGTAAGTAATTTTCTAAAAATGACTTGTCTCTAAGTAAGGTGAAAAGCGCTCTTAGGTTGTCTGCCTTCCGGATTTTCCTTCTACCTGGAAGTTACTTTCAATAAGCTATACAAGGTAGCTGGATTCCCATTTCAGAGCTTACAGATTTTGTATAGAAAGAACCCTGGTATATAAGGGATAGGTACCAGTATGGAGATGGAAGCAAGCTTGACAGAAAAATGTGTTTCAGAGTGTTTCTACAAGCTAGCTTCTTGGGGGTACCATGTAGTACCTTTCCCAGATCCCATGAGCAACTCTTGGTTGATTACCCAACAAGAAAAGATCTGGGCAGGATTATCCTTTGAGTACTCGTGCTGAGGAATAGCACTGGTCAGTGTCTGGCTTAATTAACAGGATAGCAGGCTAAAGCACCAATTCAGAATAAAAGCATAGGTTTAAGTTATGTACTTACCACTTTTTCATATTGGCAGCAGTAGTACCTTTGTCAAAATGGGGCGGGGGGGGGGGGGCACCAGCCCAAATGTTTCAGGGGATTATAATGTAGCTACTCTTAAACATCCCCATGACCCAAGATCCAATTCAAAAGTTAACAACCAGTTGATCCTGAGTTTTCAGATCATGTTACTGCCATTAACATTTTATACTTTGTTTCAAAGGTCACATATTCATGCTGTCCATGAATATGTTGAAGGCAGTGTGCATTTATGTATGCCATAGGTTACGTAACTACAATTTCTGGAAATGGTAAACAGCTGAGGCTAACCCTAAAAATAAATTCCTCTGGGATTTTTTTATGCAAAAACCCATCTGCCCTCACTGCAGGTTCATCATTACAAAAATCACTCTTTGGATCAAGCCAAGAGACAGAAGTCATTAGAATGCCTCTTCTCTGTATCCTTCCTAGAGCAGCTTCCACCTTCCCAGCACTCAAGCACTGCACACACGTGCCCACACTTCACTGCAAAAATGGAAGGAAATCTAGAGAAGGCTCAAGTCTACCAAATCTCAACAGAAGTTTCACATTTACTTACTTATATGTAGTTCCTTCTCCCTTAATGATAACAGTCATCATTACGCCTAAACCCCTTATTACTCTCCTGAGCAGTTTTGTTATTTCCCATTTTGTTTTCTAACAAACAGGAAGTATGTACCGTTTCAGTCTGAAGAAAATTTTTTCTTGAACACTTGTAGTTTTTGAATATGGAGACAACTATGAGGAGCATATAGCATAGAAATAAATGATAAAGGCTGGCGCCGCCACTCAGGTTCTAGTCCCGGTTGGGGCACCTTTTCTGTCCTGGTTGCCCCTCTTCCAGGCCAGCTCTCTGCTGTGACCTGGGAAGGCAGTGGAGGATGGCCCAAGTGTTTGGGCCCTGCACCCGCATGGGAGACCAGGAGGAAGCACCTGGCTCCTGGCTTCGGATCAGCGCAGTGCGCCAACCGTAGTGGCCGTGTGGAGGATGAACCAATGGAAGGAAGACCTTTCTCACTCTCTAACTCTGCCTGTCAAAATAAAAAAAAAAAAAAAAGAAAGAAAGAAAGAAAAAAAGAAATGATAAAAATTCAGTCTTTCATAATGAAGTTCAAATCTGAGCACAATTTATCAGTGTTGTTAAGTAACGTCTGGAGTCTATTACTGGCTAAACTTTTGTGTTATAACATTTACATTTTCATCTAATTACACATAAAGTGTCAACTAAATTTAATATTAAAGATGAATTTTCGCTAAGCCATATGTAAGGGAGGATTATAGAAATGTTGCTTATCAAACAGCGCCAAAGGGCACTTCTGCACAAACTAGATAATGGCCAAGGTGTTCACCCTTCAATCAGGGAAGTATTTCATCCTCCCCTTCTCAATCAAGAACTGTCAGGGATCACCAGAGTAACAGAAAACCTAAACCTTCCAACCTCCAGAAAAAAATTCACAAAAAAGGAACTCTAATTAGACCATAATCTAGAACTCATTTGAGTCAAATCTCTTTCCAGTCACAGATATACTTGAACAATTCCCAAAACAAGTTATAACTAAAACTCCACAACCACCCTTCCTGTGCATTTCATCTTGATGATTTGTCTTGTCAATTCAACTGCGGAGAAGGTGAACATGAAGGTGAACATGTGCTGAAGACTTTTTCACTGTAACACCTACAAGATTTTCAATTGCTTTACATTCCTCTCTTGATGACGCCTCTGTATATAAGGAACATTAACAAGTCAGTAAGTTTAGTTCAAAGCTCTAGAGAAAGAATTCATTCAAGGCTTCTAATTCACTTATAAGAAGCAAGAATACAAAATTTTAAATCATTGAGTATTGACTTTTTATTATTAGTCACTGTTCATAATTTGTTTCAACCAAAAGACAATACACACAGAATTCTAATGCATCCCATGTAAATGTTTACATCCATTTTATACCTCACTCACCTCTAAGACTTACCATTTTTTAATTTTTTTTACATCTCAAAAATATGTCTGCAATAATTAGAACTTCATTAGCTGTCCCACTTGGAAACAGCTTTTAATATTTTTACAGTAAAGAAGATGTGATGGGGCTGAATGAAAATGTAACTTACAACATTATGAAAGAAAAGGGACTTTACAGGAACAAATAGGGAGCTTCCAAAGGAAAGAGTACAGAAGCCCTTTCCAATGAGGCTCCAGAGAGAAAACAAAAACAAAACACACAAAGCGCAAATGCAGGTTCAAAAAACAAACAACTCCAATGCTCCATCTTGAAGCCAGAATCAGTCTCATGGACGTTCACAAAGCAACTGTGCAAGCTGCTTCTCCACGTTTTCTTCTGGGTTAGTGTTCCAAGTCCTGGAACCTTGTTGATGGGACCCCGCTCACTGCTATTGCTTGAGAAAGTTACTCACTTCCAGTTCTAAAAGCAGCTCCACCCTCCTGAGCCAAAGATGATTAAGAGTATTTCAAACTTCAGGACTTTTTGAGTAATTCTTAGATTATCCTCCCCACTCCCAAACGTAAATACGGACATGTACAACCATTGCCCCAACCACAAAGTTTGTGAATTTCTACTTTTCGCTCGCTCTCTCAATCGCTTGCTCGCTCGCTCGCTCTGTTTAGGACACTGTGGTTATAATACATTCACTAGGGGAAAAAAATAAAACATTCAAATTCATTCTTTCCCCTAGTTCTCATGGCCCAAAAATTTTCCAATGAAGAAGATAATAAGCTGAGCCTCAAAAGCAGTATCCTTTACCTTTCCACCTGTTCTAGAAGGACGTAACAATGGAAAGCATGTTATTTGGTAGGTGAAAATATTCCAATCATTAGTCCTGGACAGTTTTAAGTCTATTTGCATATATGCAGGGGACAAACAAGGGGCACAAACCACACTTTTAACCTAGCAAGAGGAAAGAAATCTCCTCCCAAACTTTACACTGAGGAATGTTTCTTTAAACGAGAAAGACCTTAACATTAACAGATGATCACTATACACAGCGCAAAACTTCCATGACTGTCCAAACCACCTCAAGGTAACAGCACCAAAGCATTGCGGGAGAAGCTTTTTGGGGAGAGCACCCATCCGACAGTTATTTGAGATTACTTCGATGAATTCTCCCTTAAGATTACTGGAGGTGAGGGGTCAGGGGAAATCAGGATACAAACTACTGTGGAAGAGGGAAATAATGAGGTACAAGTGCAGGTGAAATTGTTGGAGGAAGTGTCTGAGGGCTCACTGCCTATCACCCCGGGGTTATTCAACAGCCATGGAAATCGCTCCTTTCTCATAATGGCTCTGAAGTTGTGAATTCATCCAAATGCGCTCCCCCTTAAATAGTTATACTTGGGAAAGGAATTGCTGAAATGTGCAAGTGTTTACAGAAATTAAGGGATTTCTCCTTTTAGCTGCAAGGCCAAGTGAGAAGAGAAGTAATTCTGATCCTAGAAACTAAGGCACGCTGAAGCTTTCAAAGATCCAATCGTTTGAAACAGTCTTCACCACCATCAGTATCCTAGGCAGTTATTTGGCTGCTAGTCCTTCAGTATGGTGCTCAGGTTCAGTCTCTGAAAGTCATTCCTAGTCTACGCAGCACCCTTTGTGTTAAGGCCATATTTTATTCCTTCTAGACAAAGCCACGGATGACCACTAACTCTAACTCAAAACTATGATCACCCAGCGAGATGCTTTGCCCCTTCTGCTCCATTAGCTAGCACTGATAGCATGGTGTTGAGCAGATTTCTTCAGAGATTCAACTCAGTTCAACTAGGAAAACCTGAGCTGGTTAGCTACAAATGTAAGAGAGAAAATAAAGCCTCTACACAAAGAGGAATGTTAAGACAAATTCTATTCAAGAAATCCACCAATATTATGTTAATCCTATCACATTTCACAGCATTAAATATCCATCCAGTGAAATCAGTCTGCAAAGAAAGTTTGAAAAGGCTATTTTTCATTGCACAGGCAGAGCGGCTGTCTGAAATAAGCACGAGTCCACCCTTAATTTGCTGAGAACTATTCAAGAGATAATAATCTGGTTTTGACTCGGCCATCATTTACCCAGTGGCATAAATTTTAGCAGATCTTGCTCTTATATATTAGTAAGACCAGAAGGTTTTCCCTTTGGAGCCTTTAGTTCACCTCCAGTTTGTCAAATGTTAGGAATAGGCTAGCATCTGATACAGAGCTAGATTTGACAAAACACTGAAGATTTTAAATAAAGGCTTTGCAAAATGGAGGGAAAAAGGGTATTTGTATCCAGGTTTCAGTCTGAAGCCAAAGTAGTCACTCTACTGTACTCAATACAGTAATGATTGTAAGAGCAAGGTGGGCCTCACATTCTCTTTTCAGTATATAAAACAAAACGCCTGTATACCTGAACATACACAGTATATTCAACATGCACAACTCAACTTTAAGGTTTGAAAACACAAGGATCCTTTCTAAAAAGCACTCGGCACTCTCACTAGTTTAAAAACCTCAAATCTTTAATGCAGATATTCATAAGACTGATCTCTTCCAAGAGACCAAGTTCTCAAACTCACAAAATTATATTCCTACCCTATGGTGTCCATAAGACTTTCTCTGACATAGGGGCAAGGAAGCTACAAGGCTTCATTCCAACACCATAAAGTACGATATAGGAAAGAGTTCTTTAAGTGTGTGGTCTTTATTTCAGTGCCAGTGTTACAGATACAACACAAATGTTCCAGTTAGAAGAAGGAATTCAAATGGAATGCCAAGGTCCAAGCCAGGCTCAGGAAACAAAAAGGGAGGTTTGGAGTAATGGATAAGATGACTCCAACGTGCTCCAGGCCAAGTCTGATATTCACTTTTCCTATGGGTAGAGCTGCTTTTGTTAGGGAGTCTGATCTTTAGAACTGGTGGATTCCTCTTTCCACTCCTTTACCACAGTTCAAACAGGCAAGTCACAGGCTTAGGGGAAACTTCAAAACCTGTGAAGGGAATGGGGTCACTGATAACTAATTAAAGTACTTTTAGAAAGTTTCACTTTGCATTTTAAGGGGACTCGATTTTGAAAATCACGGAGAGTATTCATGACTATAGCTACAGAATGGAGAGAAAGGGGAGCTAGAAGAGCCTTGGAAGTATCTATTACAAATAGAGCACCATATCCTTCATGCCAAATCTCGACAAAAGTTCCTTTTACTGCATCTGTCCAGTGTTTACAAATCATCTCAAGGTCTGACCAGTTCTCAACAACAAATGTACATACATGTGTGTGTCTGTGTGTATACAGCAATGCACAGGAAAGGCCACCAGGAGCCTAATGCCTCTTTCAAACATTGGGGGAACCAGTAGAAAAAGGCAGGGCTCCCTAATGTCCACTGTTACATTTCCATTCCGAATGCCAGATGTAAAAAGCGCCTAAAGATGGTAACCCAGCTAGTGAGGAATAAATACCCCACCTTGCCCAGTCCACCGAGAAACAATAGTAGAAAGAAAGGGCAACTCTTTGCTGCAGAGACAGAGTGAGTGTTTTCTCGCCATGAATTTCAGTCCTCTCCTCCAGACCAGCTGCTTATTTCTTCAGGGGCCCAGGGAACATGGATTCTGGCTGTAAATGTGGGAGGGTGGAGAAGTATGGAAAAGGGAGAGAGGAGGAGAGTGCAAAGTAGCCTCCAGAAGCAGCCAGCTTCAACAGTGGAGGAGAGGACGTTAGTCTTTAACAATGCTTCAAAGTCAGCAGTAACTTCAGGAAAATCCTCCTCAACAGTTCTCTTCAGCTCCTCATGCCCATGGTACAGTTGGGGGGGGACTTGCCAGCAATCACAACGTCCTTCCCAGAGTTCCTTTGATTGAGTAGAATAAGAACAAGAATGGTGCCAGGCCTTCATTGCCAGGACTGAGGGGGAAAGTTGTTCACTTCTGCTAAATCTTGCATTGCTGAGCCCTTGTGATTATATGTGAGCTTGATCCGCATTCGCAGCTGTTGCTGTAAGAGGAAAAAAGAATCTCAAATTAGTGAAATAAAGTCTCTAGAATTGGGGCCAGCACCATGGCACAGAAGCTAAAGCCACCACCTGCAGCACTGGCATCCCACATGGATGCTGGTTCAAGTGCCAGCTGCTCCACTTGCAATACAGATCCCTGCTAATGTGCCTGGAAAAGCAGTGGAAGATGGCCCAAGATCTTGGGCCCTTGCACCCACGTCAGAGCCCAAGAAGAAAGCCCCTGACTCCTGGCTTCACATTAGCCCAGCTCCGGCCATTGTGGCCATTTGGGGAGTGAACAAGCAGATGGAAGATTAATCTCTCTCTCTCTCTGGCTCTCCTTCTCTGTAACTCTTTCCAATAAATAAATAATCTCTAGAAATCTTCAGTCCACACAAAGACTTTTAATTTTAGAGGTTAACAAACTACTTTAAAGCAAAGCTGTCTCTTAAAAATGACACACAGTAACAACAAAAACTACCTAACAACCCAGCTTTGAGCCAATATCAACTGGCCAGCAGAGGAACAGGAACACATGGTTGCCTAGAACTGTACTAGAGCAACAGAAGCACTTGGGAGCCTTTACCTAGTAATCCTTGCTGAATGCTTTTCCCAACGATTCAGCTGCTGTATCCAAGTTGCTAGAAAAATTAGGTCAATGCATGCTCATCTATGCTCTACATTCAAATACACTGTTGATTGATCTGAGAAACCTACAGTATATGTGAACAGAAACTTGTTTTGTTCCCAAGGCATAAAAGAAAAATAATTCACAGATAGTAGCAGTAGTTTTAAAAAAATTCAAGTATTAAGTACTTTTAACTTGATGTGGCAGATTTCACTAATTAATACACTAAGAAAATTTTTACTCTATGTATCAGATGTTCAAAGGAATTTGTCCTTGGGCTATTGGCAGATGCCCAAAACAGAAGCAGAGGAAAGGCAGAGTGATCCAAAAGGAAAAAAGTACACTGGTATCTGTGAGGAAGTACTAGAGAATCTTTCATTGTGAAGAAATTTCCTGACTCATTCTCAAAATCTGTTTGAAAAAAAATCAGTCAACAGATTACCATTAAGTACAGTCACCTTACTTCTTGAGATGATATAATGAAATATTACTTAATTTCAGTTCCTAACTCTATTTTTCATTCAGCTGCTTTATTTACAATGTATCCATCTTTGTTAATTTCATAGATACTGAAGGAAATAAACACACTGGCTCATCAAATGCTCTTACCTCAGATTTCAACTTCAATATGAATTTAAATGTCTCCAATGCCCTGCCCAAAAATTAGACCTTTCATCTCCCAAATAGAGAAATTTTTAAAAGTTGCATTTTAGTGAGATTCTATTAATCCATGTGATGGCTTTGGACTCCCTTTATTTTCTATAATAGAACGTGGAATTTAAATTTAGATCATGAGTTTTCATAGATTTCTTCTGCGTCAGAAAAACCCAGAGAAACAAAGCAGAAATTTAAATAAAGAATGCTTACCTTTTGCTCAGATACTGGCTTGAAATGTGCTACTCACCTTCTGTGGGTTCAGAACTTTAATGACTTGTGTGATGGTCCCTGTGTTAAATGCTGGGACAATGCTGCTGCTTGGAGACAGAAGCTGCAGCTGGAATGTCTAGGGAAGGACAAAGGGCATGCTTCAAAAAACAACAACTCCATAGTGCTACATCAGAGATGTAGTTCAGAATGTCCCCTCAGAGACACCAACCAATTAAAGAGCTGGGACCCAGATGATGATCAAATAACAGTTTTACCTACTACTACATTTTGCCAGCTGTTTTTAAGATATCAGCAATTCACAGTATGTTAGCTGCCACTCGTAACATTTGTAAAAACCCACTGTTAGATCTTTGATCATGATTACTAACAACTGGCCATTCTTCTTTTCGGGAGAAGCAACTGCAACCTCTATTACTTTTCAAAATGTGACTAATTCTTGCTCTGCAACTTCACTTAATATAACTGACCGGGCCGGTGCCGCGGCTCACTAGGCTAATCCTCCGCCTCGCGGCGCCGGCACACCAGGTTCTAGTCCCGGTCGGGGTGCCGGATTCTGTCCCGGTTGCCCCTCTTCCACGCCAGCTCTCTGCTGTGGCCAGGGAGTGCAGTGGAGGATGGCCCAAGTCCTTGGGCCCTGCACCCCATGGGAGACCAGGAGAAGTACCTGGCTCCTGCCATCGGATCAGCGGGGTGCGCCAGCCGCGGCGGCCATTGGAGGGTGAACCAACGGAAAAGGAAGACTTTTCTCTCTGTCTCTCTCTCTCACTGTCCAATCTGCCTGTCCAAAAAAAAAAAAAAAAAAAAAAAAAAAAAAAAAAAGTAGTAACTGATCAACTATACCAATGGGAAAAAAGGGAACTCAAGAGAAAAGCTTTCTAGAAACAACAAATCAAGTTCCCAGTCACCAACTATAGGCCTTTATGGCTTTGTATAATCAGATGACTGGAACCCAACAGTTTGAACTTCTGTTTTCTAAAGCCTGTATAATCTAGAATGTGTTAAGACCTCCTCCTACATGACAACGATGAAGGAAAGGCTTTAAAGAGCCAGGCTATTAATTGTAAGTGGAATACATGAGTATTACTCTATTAGGTTCACAAGCACCTAGCGGATGCAGTACATGCAAAACCAGCCTGTACAGTAGACGATGGGTATAAGTCCAACATCAGAATTTGTTGAATACTGGTGGGTTTCATTTAGGCCCTTCTAAATGAAAACACTGGATTGAAGAATAAGTTTATTTTGGTGCAAAAAACCTGAAATCCATGCAGTTGTTTCATAACTCACAATTTCCATGAACGTTTTGAAGATCACTCATACAGGCACAGTACAAAGTGCTACGAGCAAGCTGGACAAACCACACTGTACTATGTAGCTAATCAGCACACTAGGATTTTTAAGATCTTTCCAAAAAGTAAATCTGTCTTCTAAAGTATTTAAGAAGGGGAAGGAAGTGGCAGGAGGGAATCAGTCTTCTCTATGGCCCAAAATTACAATAGTAAACAGTCCCTCTCAATGTACAAATTTATTATATGGACTCTTACTCATAATTATACTGTCAAGATAAATTATATAACATATTACATATATAAATTATATAACATGTTATAAATTATATAACCTATTTCATTAAATACAAGATACTGTCAAGGCCGGCACCAGGGTAAAGCGGGTAAAGCTGCTGCCTCCAGTGCTAGCATCTTATATAGGCGCAAATTCGAGTCCTGGCTGCTCCAATTCCAAACTAGCTCTCTGCTATGGCCTGCGAAAGCAGTGGAAGATGGCTCAAGTCCTTGGTGCCCTGCACCTGCATGAAAGACCCGAAGAAGCTCCTGGCTTCAGACTGGCACAGCTCCGGCCATTGTGACCATTTGGGGAGTGAACCAGGGAATGGAAGACTTCTCTTTGTCTCTGTAACTGTCTTTCAAATAAATAAATAAATCTTTAAAAAAAAAGATACTATCAATAGTAATTAACATCATTATTGTAGGTACCACTGAGAGAAAACAGGCTGCCCAATAAACTATAACAAAGTATCAATTCTTTTTTTTTTTTTTAGGATTTTTATTTATATATTTGAGAGGTAGAGTTACAGACAGTGAGAGGGAGAGACAGAAAGGTCTTCCTTCAGTTGGTTCACTCCCCAGATGGCCACAACGGCTGGAGCTGCGCCGATCCAAAGCCAAGAGCCAGGTGCTTCTTCCTCGTCTCCCATGCGGGTGCTGGGGCCCAAGCACTTGGGCCATCTTGCACTGCTTTCCCAGGCCAGAGCAGAAAGCTGGATTGGAAGAGGAGCAGCCGGGACTAGAGCTGGCGCCCATGTGGAGTGCTGGTGCCACGTGTGGAGGATTAACCTACTGGGCACAGCACCGGCCCCAAGTATCAATTCTTAAATGCACCCCAATTTCAAAGACATGAACAAATGAAAACAGGGGCTGACATTGTGATGTAGCAGGTTGAGCAGCAACCTGTAATGCTGGCATCCCATATGGCCACCAGTTTGAGTACTGGCTGCCTCACTTCAGATCCAGCTCCCTGCTAATGTACTTGGAAAAGCAGTGGAGGATGGCCCAAGACTTTGGGCCTATGCAACCATGTGGGAGACCCTGATAACCTGATAAAGTTCCTGACTTCAGCCTGACCCAGCCCTTGCCATTGCAGCCAGATGGAAGCTCTCTAACTGTGCCTTTCAAATAAATTAGATTTAAAAAAAAAGAAAACACATGAGTAGAGTCTATGAAATATAACACTCTGAAGTTCAAGAGACATCAGAATGATGCACTGCATGATCCAGAACCAAAAATATGGTCGTGGTTTAATAGCAGAGGAGACGACATAGAACAGCAGCCTAAAGTAAAGAATAATAAAGTCCTAAACTGCAGCAACTAACATTTACTGAACATGAACACAGGAAAAGTCAGTGCCTGGCACAAAAAAATGATTTATTCCTCAAAGCAACCCCATGAAATAGCTAACATTATCATGAAATCTGCTGAAAAAGAGACTGAAGCATAAAAGTAAACTAACATGCTTCATGTCATACAACTAGTATTAAAATCCAAACTGAATGGCTCCACTGTTCATTAGCGATTCTTAATTACTTAAAATTACTGCTTCTAAAATATTTCATGATTACAGTACCATATTATTCTAGCTTCTAAAAACGATAAGCAAAGAAGGCTGCAAAGTCAGCATTAACCACAAATAAAACATTTTCAATTTCTAAAAGTGTGTAGCTAAATGTCTGAAAATGACACTTCACATGGCACAACAAAGATTAGGTCAGCTCAGTCAAAACCAAAGATTGGCGAAGTGTAGCCCAACATCTGTTTTCATAAATACTATCTTACCAGAACACAGCCATGCTCATTCTTTCACATATGACTTACAGCTGTTTCTATAACACAATAGCAGAACTGAGTAACCAAAGAGGCTATACAACAAAAACACTATTCTTTTGTAGAAAAATTTTATTCAAAATCTAATCTCTCATCATTCAAAAGTGAACACAAAAACTCAACCTAAGATTGATGTTAATAAAAAAAAAAAAAAACACTTTTTTTTTTCCCCACGTGCGCTATGCGGGTCTGCAGACACCTTCCTTGGAGCAGGAGCTGTCAAACCCTGCGCTCTGTTCCCTTTTGCATGGTAACCAATAAAGGCCGTTCGTACCACAAACAAACAAACAAACAACCCTCAATTCACAAATAAAAAGTTATACCAACAGCAAAAGGAATGCTAATGAAGGAGGAATGTTTCTCTTACTTATATATCAAGAGACGACTCTCAATAGGCTAATTTTCCTCCTTGCGGCGCCGGCATTAAGATTTTGTAGCTGGAGCTGGGCCAATTCAAAGCCAGGAGCCAGGAGCTACTTCCAGGTCTCCACGTGGGTGCAAGGGCCCAAGGACTTGGGCCATCTTCTGCTGTTTTCCCAGGCCACAGCAGAGAGTTAGATTGGAAGTGGGGCAGCTGGGAATCAAACCCACACCCATATGGGATGCTGGCACTGCAGGCGGTGGTTTTACCCGCTACACAACAGTGCCGGTCCCAAGAAATAACAATTTTTAACTCTGATGTAGTGATTAAAGTCCCTTATCTTAACTTTAATTCTATCAGATTTTGTTTGCACTCTCACTACTAGAATTTCTTTTTGTTACCCTATAACTCTAAACTATAAGAATATTTGTGGGATTGGCGCTTGGTTCAACAGTTAAGATGCCATTTGGGACGATCATAGTCCACATCAGACCACCTCTGATTCCAACTTCCTATTTAATGTACACCCTGGGAGACAGAAAATAATGGTTCAAGTGGCTAGATTTCTACCAGCCATTTGTGAGTCCCAGATTGAATTCTGGGCTCCTGGCTTCAGCCTGGCCCAGCCCGGGAAGCTGTAGGCATTTGATGTAGTGAACCAGCAGATCCAAGTTTTCTCTGTCTCTGCCTTTCAAATAAAATGAAAATAAAAAATATTTTAGAAAAGAATATTTGTGACTAAAAGTTAGCCACTAAAAACTGACATGCTTCAAAGGACCAAAAGTTACATTATCAGTAAGTTCAGTTAAATCTGCAATTTTAATTTAATCTCTAAATATCAAAATCTCTAAACATTAAAATTATATCCTTACCAAATATGGGGTGGGGGGGAGAGGTCAGCTAATCTTTAATCAAAAGCAGAAGGCAAAGAGGAATTAGGAAGTACCTTTGGTACTGCAGCCTGGAAAACAAAGTCCGTCATGTCCAGCTCTGTGCTGTTGGAGGCCTGTATCGTTATCACTGTGACACTGGGGTTGGTGTTTGACCGTTCAAAGGTGAATTCTATCTTCAAGCCATTCTTACTGTATGCTGTGATGGAGGGGATGCCTGGGAAAGTACAGTTCAATCTTATTATAGTCAGCCTAAAGCTTGCAGGAATATTACTTTCTTTTCCTAGTAACAACCTCTCAATGCTCAGTGTTCCACACAATGACAGTAATAGTAATCCTACCTGCAGCAATATCGTTGAAGAGAGGCTGTGATGAAAGTCCATCCAGCAAGAATGGGGGTTGGGATATCTGTGGGACGGAGGCAGGGGCAGGAGCAGCAGCTGGAGCACCTAAAGAAAACATTTCAATGGTAAATCAATCTTAGCTAGTACGACAAAGCTAAAGAAAACAGGAGAAAATTATTATAATCTCAGCATAGGGAAAAGATATTGACCACATGGAAGGCATAGATTACAAAGGGAAAGATCTAAAAATTCAAATATTTTAAAATGAGTAAATTCTGTTAATTAAAAAATAGTACTAAAAGAAAGTAAAAAGAGACCACTGGTAGAATAAACAAAAACAACAAATAGGGGCCGGCGCCATGGCTCACTTGGTTAATCCTCTGCCTGTAGCGCCGGCATCCCATATAGGCGCCGGGTTCTAGTCCTGGTTGCTCCTCTTCCAGTCCAGCTCTCTGCTGTGGCCCGGGAAGGCAGTGGAGGATGGCCCAAGTGCTTGGGCACCTGCACCCGCGTGGGAGACCAGGAAGAAGCACCTGACTCCTGGCTTCAGATCAGTGTAGCGGCCATTTGGGGGGTGAACCAACGGAAGGAAGACCTTTCTCTCTGTCTCTTTCTCACTGTCTAACTCTATCTGTCAAATAAAAAATTAAAAAAAAAAAAAAAAAAAACCACCAAATAGGCAAGCACCCAGAACTATATATGACTATACAAATTAGTAAGAAAAAGATAATTAAGAGGTACAGCTGTTGTTTTGGCATAGCAAGGAAAGCCAGCACCACCTGTGATGCTGCCACCCAAATAGGCATTGGTTCAAGTCCCAGATGCTCTACTTCCAATCTAGTTCCTTCCTAACACACTTGAGAAAGCAGAAGAAAATAGCCCAAGTGTTTGGGCCCCTGCTCCCAGGTAGGAGACTCAGAAGCTCCTGGCTCCTGGCTTCAGCCTGGCGTCGCTCCAGCTCCTATGGCCATTTGGGGAGTGAGCCAACAGACAGACCTCTATTTCTGACTCCCTCCCCAACATAACTATGCCTTTCAAATAAATAAAATCTTTATATAATAATTTTTTAAAAAGTAGCAAGATATATGAACAAGCAATTCACAAAAGGAACCTGAATAAAAAGCAAATCTTATGAAAAGATATTTAACATTACCAATCATGATGGAAACAGAACTGAAAATCAGAGAAATATTATTGTACATTCATCAGAATAGTGAAAATTTCAACGTCTGATACGAGATATGGCACATTGGGCGCCTCTATACTCTGCTATAGGAAAAGCAACTAGTAATATAAGCTAGGGAACAATTCAGCAATAGCAGTGTTGAATGTTAATATACCTGTAGAGCTAAGGTTCCTCAACCTTAGTGCTAGTGATACTGGAGGACAGATAATATCTTGTTGTGGGGGCTGCCTTGTACATTATAGGATATTCAGCAGCACGCCTGGCTTGAATGCATTACATGGCAATAGCACCTTCCCAAACATTTATTCAAACATTTATTCAAACACTGCCAAACCCTAGAGGGAAAAATTTCCTCCAGTTGAGAACCACTACCTTTCTCAGGAACACTTTTAATTAACTCATATATATGTACACCAGGAAACACATACAAACTACTCATAGTAAGATAACAATTCTACACATAGTATCAAGAAAACCACAGGAATGGTAAACACCAATGCTAAACTGCTTTAGAAGATTTATTAGTTGCCTTGAGAATGAAAGGAAAATGAGATGAAAGGAAAAATACATGGAGAAAACAACAACTCTCTTAATAGCATTTCATTTTACAAGCTAAAGCAGGTCGATACTTTGTGAATTTTGTATTTTTTTTATTTATTTATTTGACAGAGTGAGAAAGAGAGAGACAGAGAAAGAGAGAAAGGTCTTCCTTCCATTGGTTCACCCACCCCCCCGGCCAATGGCCTCCACGGCCGGAGCTATGCTGATCCAAAGCCAGAAGCCAGGTGCTTCCTCCTGGTCTCCCATGCAGGTGCAGGGGCCCAAGCACTTGGGCCATCCTCCACTGCCTTCCAAGGCTACAGCACAGAGCTGGACTGGAAGAGGAGCAACCAGGACTAGAACCTGGCACCCATATGGGATGCCGGCGCCACAGGCAGAGGATTAACCAAATGAGCCATGGCACTGGCCCTGTATGTTAAATATAATTTTTTTCTTCCTAGTCTCCATCAATTTGTTTTTTAAATTTTAAATTTTTAATTAATCAGTTTGATAGATAGGGAGAGTTACCATCTAGTAGTACACACCCCAAACACCCATAATGGCCATAGCTGGGCCAAGCTGAAACCAGAAGCCAGAAAGTCAATTTAAGTTTCACAAGTGTGTGCCTATCACAATTCCCTCCAAGTATAAGCATTAGTAGGAAGCAAGAATCAGCAGTGGAGCCAGGACTTGATTGCAGGCACTCAAATTAATGGTTTAACCACCAGGCCAAATGCTTACCGCGGCATAATGAAATTTTAATGCATATATACATTACAAGAGGTGGGTAGGGAGGGGGGAGAAGGGAGTAGAGGTTGCCTGATCACCATTTTTATTTGATCCTTCCAAATAAGAACATTTTGAGGGGCCGGCACTGTGGCGTAGTGGGTAAAGCTGCTGCCTGCAGTGTTGAATGAAATCAAGCCAGTTAGAGTCCTGGCTGCTCCACTTCTGATCCAGCTCTCTGCTATGGCCTGAGAAGGCAATGGAGGATGGCCTAAGTCCTTGAGCCCCCTGTAACTGAGTGGGAAACCCAGAAGAAGCTCCTGGCTTCCGATCGCTGCAGCTCCAGCCATCGCAGCCAGTTGGGGAGTGAACTGGGGGGTGAAAGTCCTCCCTCTCCCCCCCCCCTTCTCTGCCTCTCTCTGTGTAGCTCTGACTTTCAAATTCATTCATTCATTCATTCATTCATAACAAAAAAAAAAAGAAAAAGAAAAAAGAACATCATGGCCATGAAATGTTTAAAAAAAGGAACACTTTGAAGGTCATACAATAAAAGTCAATGACCTTTGAACTGAGAAGATTCTAAAAAGAAGCATAGAAAATTCAGCAAAGTAATGAGAATCTATTATACACTTATAATTTTTTTAAAAAAATTTATTAGTTTTGGCCGGCGCCACGGCTCACTAGGCTAATCCTCCGCCTAGCGGCGCCGGCACACCGGGTTCTAGTCCCGGTCGGGGCGCCGGATTCTGTCCCGGTTGCCCCTCTTCCAGGCCAGCTCTCTGCTGTGGCCAGGGAGTGCAGTGGAGGATGGCCCAGGTGCTTGGGCCCTGCACCCCATGGGAGACCAGGAGAAGCACCTGGCTCCTGGCTTCAGATCAGCGCGGTACGCCGGCCGCGGCGGCCATTGGAGGGTGAACCAACGGCAAAGGAAGACCTTTCTCTCTGTCTCTCTCTCTCACTGTCCACTCTGTCAAAAAAAAAAAAAAAAAAAAAATTTATTAGTTTCAAAGGCAGAGAGACCTTCTGTCTACTGATTCACTCCCCACAAATGCCCACAAGTGGGGCTGGGGCCAGCCCAAAGCCAGGAGATAGGAAGAAAGTCAACTGGGTCTCCATGTTGGTGGCGGGGACTCAAGTACTTGAGTCAAGTCCCTGTTACTTCCCAGGATACACATTAGCAGGAAGCTGGAATCAGAAGAGGAGCTGGAACCCAAACTCAGGCTTTCCCAAGTAGCAGTTCAACCACTGTGCCAAACAACCATCCCAGGGAATATATTTAATATTTAAGATTTCAAACTACTTATGAAATTAATTGAAAATATACCATTTAAAAATAATAATGAAATAAAGGAAGGCTGGAATATTTAAGAAAAAAAAGATATTAAAGAAGGAAAGAAAAAAACCCAACATAATAAAATTAGCAAAGAAGGTAGAAATACAGAAGCCTAGGTAAAGCATTAAAGACACTAAAACCAATGCAAATACAACAGAATGATCCCTCAAGTAGATTACCAATGAAGTACACAAAGAACATTCATACAGTTCCTGCAATTTTTCAGATATAATCTGCTCATTTTCCCACCAATTCCTATTTTCAGAACAATTTTACTAATGTGTTCTCCTAGAAAATCAGAGGCTACATAAGATACATGGACAGCATAAGGTCCCTAACTTCCTCAAATGTTGGCCTATTTCTTCTATATATGTACAGTACATAGTTTTGAGAAACTACAAAACGTCATCACTACAAATCATCTAGAAAACACACGTTGGGATTGGCACTGAGGTGGAGCCGGTAAAGCATCCCATACTGGTGCCAATTTGAGTCCGGGCTGCCCCATTCCAATCCAGCTCCCTGCTAATGTGCCAGCTCTCTGCTGTGGCCTGGGGAAGCAGAAGAAGATAGCCCAAGTTCTTGGGCCCCTGCACCCACATGGAAGACTCTGAAGAAGCTCCAGGTTCCTGGCTTCACATCAGCCTAGCTCTGGCAGCTGCAGCCATTCAAGGGGTGAACCAGTGGATGGAAGACTTTTCTCACTCCCTGCCTCTGCCTCTCTCTAACTCTGCCTTTCAAATATATAAGTAAATCTTTAAAAAAAAAAAAAAACACACAAATGCTAAATATATTCCCATATTTCTACCAACAATAGTGTAAAATGGAATGAAACTGTATCTAGCACTCAAATTTTTAATTTAAAAATGTAAACAAAATGGGAAAATGTGTTAAAATCCATTATAGATAAGGAAAAGAAAATTCAGGCTTTCTTTTAAATTTTTATTTATTTATTTATTTTTGATAGGCAGAGCGGACAGTGAGAGAGAGAGACAGAGAGAAAGGTCTTCCTTTGCCGTTGGTTTACCCTCCAATGGCCACGGCGGCCGGCACACCGCGCTGATCCGTAGTCAGGAGCCAGGTGCTTCTCCTGGAACCCGGTGTGCCAGCACCACAGGCAGAGGATTAGCCTAGTGAGCCGCGGCACCGGCAATTCAGGCTTTTTAACATCATTTTTTTTAACCTACAAGAAAACAATTAGCCTTTCTTTCTTTTTTAAAGATTGTTATTTATTTGAAAATTTGAGTTATACAGAGAGGAAAGGAGAGATACAGAGAGAGAGAGAGGTCCTCCATCCGCTGGTTCACTCCCTGACTGGCTGCAATGGCCAGAGCTATGGTGATCCAAAGCCAGGAGCCTCCTCTGGGTCTCTCGCGTGGGTGCAGGGACCCAAGAACTCGGGCCATCTTCTACTGCGTTGACAGGCCATAGCAGAAAATTGGATCAGAAGTGGAGCAGCCAGGACTCAACCAGCACCCATATGGGATGCCGGCACTGTAGGCGGCAGCTTTACCCGCTACGCCACAGCGCTGGCCCCTAACAATATCTTTTGAATAAATAAATCTTTAAATAAAAAAAAAAACTTCACAAATAAGCTGAGTTTACGATACAAAAAGAATGTTCAAAAACACTCATCCACAATGCAAACAAGTGGAAAGACATTAAATATTCCTTGTGATTAAAAAAAATGGTGGCATAGCGGATAAAAGCCACCACCTGCAATGCCAGCATCCCATATGGATGCTGGTTTAAGTCTTGGCAGCTCTACTTCCAATCCAGTTCTCTGCTAATGACCTAAGAAAGCAGCAGAGGATAACCCAAGTGCTTGGACCCCTGCATCAATATGGGAGAGGAGGAAGAAGTTCCTGGCTTCTGGTTTCAGTCTGACCCAGCCCTAGCTGTTGTGGCCATTTGGAAAGTGAACCAGCAGATGGAAGATTTCTCTCTGTCTGTCCTTCTCCGTAACTCTTTCAAATAAACAAAATAAATCTTTAAAAAAAAAAAAAAAAAGAAAACAAAATAACAGGACCAATTTTCAGGTATCAGGGCTTTCTTTTTAAATGCATGTATGTAGGTATGTATTTATTGAAAAGGCAGAGAAAAACAGACTGATAGAGACAAATAGAGATCTTGGATCTGCTGTTCAAACAGCCACAATGATCAGGGCTGGGCCAGACTGCAGTCAGGAGCTCAAAACTCAATCTATGTCTTCCACACTGGTGGCAGGGACCCAACTACTCAAACTATCACTTTCCACCTCCTAGGGTGCCCCGTAAACAGAAGTTGGAATCAGAAACTGATCCACGACTGGAACCCAGCTACTGTGATACAGGTTATAGGGAGCCCAAGCCCACCTCTCTACCAGGACCTTTAAAAATCATAATACACAGCGGCCAGCAATGTGGACTGGAGGTATGACCACCACTTGCAGTGCTGGCATCCCATATTCGCCCTCGTTCAAGACGGGGCTGCTCCATTTCTGATCCAGCTCTCTACTATGGCCTGGGAAAGCGGTAGAAGATGGCTCAAGTTCTTGAGTTCCTGTACCCGCGTGGGAAACCTAGAGGAAGCTCCTGGCTCCTGGCTTCGAATTGGTGCAGCTCCAGCTGTTGCGGCCATCTGGGGAGTGGACCAGCAGATCAAAGACCTCTAACTCTGCCTTTCAAATAAATAAGTCATCTTTTTTTAAAAAGATAATACATAATGTTCATGACTATAAGATGAAACATACTGAGCCGGCGCCGCAGCTCAATAGGCTAATCTTCCACCTAGCGGCGCCGGCACACCGGGTTCTAGTCCCGGTCGGGGCGCCAGATTCTGTCCCGGTTGCCCCTCTTCCAGGCCAGCTCTCTGCTGTGGCCAGGGAGTGCAGTGGAGGATGGCCCAAGTGCTTGGGCCCTGCACCCCATGGGAGACCAGGAGAAGCACCTGGCTCCTGCCTTTGGATCAGCTCGGTGTGCCGGCCACAGCATGCCAGCCCATTGGAGGGTGAACCAACGGCAAAAAGGAAGACCTTTCTCTCTGTCTTTATCTCACTATCCACTCTGCCTGTCAAAAAAAAAAAAAAAAAGATGAAACATACTGGCCATATAAATTGAGAAAAAGGTAAATAATATTTACCCAAATACTTCCAATGTGTCATTCACTGAACTGATTAACAGTTCTCAAAAATACACTGTGGGGTAAGTATTAATCGCCCTTGTTCACAGCATATTCAGACTGAATAACTTGGTGTAAGAAAGTTATCCAAAATAAGGACAAATTGATATAGTGATATTTGTTGAAGTAACTAGCCAAAAAAATATACTTAGAATTATGTAAAATGCCTAACAGCTAGGAAACGAGTGCAAGCTTCTTGATAAAATTAGATAGTCATTCAAAATTGTAATTAGGAAGCCTATGTACTAATGTGACAACACTAATATGTTAGTGAATTCATATACTATACTTTTAACTATGAGATTATTTTTGCTTTGCCAGTTATCCAGGATAACTTTGGTATCTAAGATCTGAAACAATTTGTAAGGGGCAGCCAGTGTGGTGGTACAGCAGGTTAAGCTGCCATTTATAATGCTGGCATCCTGTATCAGAGCACTGGTTCAAGTCCTGGCTACTCTGCTTCTAGACCAGCCCCCTGCTTACTCACTTGGGAAAGCAGCAGCAGGTGGGTCAAGCACTTGGGCCCTTTCTATCCATGTGAGAAACTGATATGGAATTCCAGGTTCCGGCCCCGCCTGGCCACTGGGGCCATTTGGGTAGTGAATCAGCAGATCTCTTCTTCTCTGTCACTTTTTCAAACACATAAATAGATCTTAAAAACCCAAAGAAGCTTTTTGTAAATAATTCCAAAGTGGGGCCAGCGTGGTGGCTCAGCAGGTTAAAGCAGCAGAATGCAGTGCCTGAATCCCATATGGGCGTCAGTTCAAGACTCGCCTGCTGCTCAACTTCTGATTCAGCTCCCTGCTGATGCACCTGGGAAAGCAGTAGAAGATGGTCTAAGTACATGGGCCTCTGTACTCACACAAGAGAAAATGAAAAAGCTCCTGGCTCCTGGCTTCAGCCTGGCTGTTGCACCCATTTGGAGAGTGAACCAGCAGATGAAGGATCTCTCTCTAACTCTGCCTTTCATATAAATCATAAAAAAAAAAAAAAAACTTCACAGTAAATGACCAACAAAACAAAAAAGAATTATAAAGTGCATGAAAAGTGATAACTGGAAAATTTGTCAACATATAGACAAAAATCCTAAGATCTGAGAGTGAGCAATTGGCCAGGCAGTTAAGTTGTCAGTTTGGATGTCCAGGGCCATATTGGATTACCTAGGTTCAACACTCGGCTTCAATTCCTAACTCCAGATTCCTGCTAATGCAGACCCGGAAATGTAGTGTTTCATTTCCTATCCAGCTCCCTGCTGATGGCCTGGGAAAGCAGTGGATGATGGCCCAAGTGCCTGGGTCCCTGCACCCGAATGGGAGACCAGAAAAAGCTCATGGCTTCAGATCAGCCCAGCTCTGGCCAAAGGTAATTGGTTTCTGCTACCCACATGGGACACTGACTGAATTCCTGTCATCTGGTCCAGCCCAGGGCTGGACCCTACATGTTGCAGGTATGTATAGAATAAAAGAATAGATGGGAGCTAGTACTCTCTTTCCCCTACCTTTCAAATAAATACACTTTAAAAAAAATTATTTGGGGCCAGAGAATGGCCCACGTCATTAGGCCCCTCGAACCCATATGGGAGACCCAGAAGAAGTTCTTGGATCTTGGCTTCTGGCTTCAGCTTGGCCCAACCCTGGCTGTTGTGACCATTGGAGAATGAACCAGTGGATGGAAAATCTCTGTATCTCTCCTTCTCTCTCTAACTCACCCTTTCAAATACATAAAATAAATCTTTTTTTTTTTTAAAAAAGCTGACATCCTATGAATTGAACACATCAATTATAAATATTCTCATAAGAAAAGTTACATCTGAATATTATAGCTATGAATTACCTTTGTCCTTTGGTTGCTCTAACAGGAATGATGAGCAGGAGGAAAGAAGGCAAGAAGGTGATAGGCTAACATTTCTCCATAAATGGCCATAGCTATTCAAAAGTAACAATGAACAGAGATACCTAGAAAATGTCTTTGTCTTTGGACACTAACTAAAAGCAGAAGTGACTTAGGATATATTCTTTTCAAGCCTGAAAGATAAAGTCTTGGGGCCAGCATTATGTCTCAGAGGGTTAAAGCCCTGGCCTGTGGCACCAGCATCCCATATGGGCGCCAGTTCTAGTCCTGCCTGCTCCATTTCCGATCCAGCTCTATGCTATGGCCTGGGAAAGCAGCAGAAGATGGTCCAAGTCCCTGGGCCCCTGAACCTGCAAGAAGCTCCTGGCTTCAGAACAGCTCAACTCTGGCCATTGCTGTCACCTGGGAAGTAACGGAAGACCTCTCTCTCCCTCTCTGGCACTACCTCTATCTGTAACTGTCTTTCAAATAAATAAAATGCATCTTTAAAAATAAAAGGGGGATGTGTTTTTATCTTAAAATCCTATGAATAATTTTTTCTGCTAAAATTAAAGATTACGCTGACTCTTTAGTGCACTAGCATGACCATGCTGTGGACAGTCTATTTTTGTTTCTCATTTAGCTTCTTTCTTCCAGTGATTCATGTGCTGGAAAATCTAGTATCACTACGGCTTCTTTCCAAGGTCTCCATCCCTATCCATGCATTAGATAGCTCCAGTCTAGCCTCACCTGTAAGGTTGATGTCTCCCAGCAAATCAAGAAGTTCTCCACCAGCGGAAGCAGGTTTGCTTGTAGGTGCAGTTGGGATAACAGGTGTTATGTCATTTCCTCCCAATAAATCCAATAAATCATTAGCCTAAACAAGAAAATAACACCTCAATTCATCAGTTATTTGTCTTATCTACAGCTAAGGCAAAATTCTGTCAATACTTAAGAATTATGAAGGGAATTATCAGCAATACAAGCATATTAAGGGGAATCAGCTAAAAATGAAGCTGTCAGAGACTGTAAGAAATCTGTCCAACTAAGTAAATGTAAGGCTACCTGGCTGGTAGGCTGTGGCCCAGAGGGTGGTGGTTTGGTCTCTAGTGGAGCAGGTTCTGTCTCTCCATTTGTCTGCACAATTTCAGTAGGGCCATTTGTAGTCACTTTTTCCATGACAGGCATTCTTTCAAGTAGGGCAGACCTAGAAGAGTCTGAAGTGGTTAAATTCTAGGCAGTTAACCTAGATTCCCTACCCTAAAAGAATCACTATTAACTATATTAATGCCAAACATGGAAAACTGTCTCCCCCTCTCCACTCAACACTCATATCAACATAGAAGACGGATTAAAAGAGTACATAATCTAAAATCCTGACTGGGTTAAGGGCAGGCAAGAAACCTTGAATAAATAAACCATCCACCTAAATCCCAAAACATATATTTCAGTGGTAGAGATTCTGGGATAAAAGAAAGCTGAATCAATAGTTATTAACATGGCACTGTGACATAGCAGGTTAAGCCTCAGCCTGCGGTGCTGTCCTCCCATATGGGTACCAGTCCGAGTCCTGGATGTTTCATTTCCTATCCAGCTCCCTGCTGATGGCCTGGGAAAGCAGTGGATGATGGCCCAAGTGCCTGGGTCCCTGCACCCGAATGGGAGACCAGAAAAAGCTCATGGCTTCAGATCAGCCCAGCTCTGGCCACTGCAGCCATTTTGAGAGAGAACCAGCAGATGGAAGACCTTTCACTCTGTCTCTCCCTCTCCCTGTAATTCTGCCTCTCAAGTAAAAAAATAAAAATAAAAATAAAAAAAGTAGTTATTAACAGTCTCCAGTCAAGAAGATATTGCATAGGGCCAATGACACAGTAGTTAAGCCATTGCTTACAATACCAGCATCCCAAATCAGAGTGCTGGTTCCAGTCCTATCTCCTCTGCTAATCTACCTGGGAAGGAAGCAGAAGATGGTCCAAGTGCTCGGGTCCCTATCACAATCAGGGGAGACCCAAATGCAGTTCCTGGCTCCTGGCTTCAGCCAGGCCCAGCTCTGGTTATTGCAGTCATTTGGGGATGGAAGATCTCACACACTCTCTTTCTCTCTCCACTTGCACTGCCTTTTCATATTTTTTTAAAAAATATTTTTGATTTATTTGAGAGAGAGAGTTACAGACAGTGACAGAGAGACACAGAAAGAACAGGCTTCCATCCGCTGGTTCACTCTCAATGGCCAGAGCTGAGCCGATGGAAGGCCAAGGAGTCAGGAGCTTCTTCCAGATCTCCCACGTGGGTGCAGGGGCCCAAACACTTGGACCATCTTCTACCACTTCCCCAGGCCACAGCAGAGAGCTGGATTGGAAAAGCAGCAGCCAGAACTAGATATGGACCCATTCAGGATGCTGGTGCCACAGGCAGTGGATTAACCTACTTCACCACAGCACTGGCTCCTTGATATGCACTTTTAAAAAATCCTTTTTAAAAAGATACTGCGTAACAGAAGAAAAAAAACACACCAAAATGTTAATAGCAACTGGATTTAAATGAGATCATTTCTCTTGGGGGAAAAAAACCCCTAGAACTCCTACTTCGTAACCAAATAAAAAAGGAAATGAAGCAAACTTTCCATACCAACAAAGGAAATGGGGGTGGGGGGGTTGGTTAGAACAAAAGAATATCATTAATTTATTTCTTTAGAGGCTAGGCAGTGTTGAAGTTAGACAAAAAAGGAAGCCTCCAATCAATTAGAACTAAACAGGGCTGTGAGGTCCAGTTAATAAAAGAATGAGTTTCCTTTATGGATTATCGCCACAATTTACTCAATATGCTGGCATGCACCCACACTGATTAGTTTCCTCTCCTCACCTCATGTGGTCATATTTCTTAAAAAGTGCATTATATTCTACTGCCCTCTGCTGGAGTTCCACATCAATGCTGCTTCCATAGATAGAAACCACTTTCTTAATTCGGCTACAGGATAAAACAATAAAAACAAATACAGTTCATAAACAAGCACAGAGAATATTTAAACAAGAGTTTCTTGGTTAAAATCTTGAAAAACTCATCTTTTCTTAATTTACATAGTTTTTCAAAAACAAAACACATCTTCCTGTGTTTACTCATGCAACATTCACCATTTTACTAATTTTAATACTAGATTTTTGTTTGTTAAATAGCCCATATCCTAAAATTTGCTAGCCAGACATATCAAATATTAGTTTGCCATAAAAGAAATTTATACTATTTGTTTCCTTCTTTAACAACAAAAGGTCATGGTATCAAATTGCAAACCCTAAATCCTTCTTGTTCACGAAGAGTTAAGCCAAAAATACCATTTCCCACAAGAATTTACTTTAAAAAGTGAAACAGAAAGTCTAAGAGAATGAAACTTTCCTTAAATAGGCTCAGGTAAGAAACTGACCCAACATGTGACTTTCATTCAAAATATAAAGGACTTAATCACCAAAACACTCATGATTTTATTTCTCTTCAGACATCTCAAAATATTGTAAACTAAAACGCTTGTCTGCTTAAAAAAAAAAAAAAAACACATCAGAAATATTTTTTGTTGCAAAATAATCCAAAATGGGTGGGAGAATGAGCAAAGTATAGGTGAAATAAGGATTAATAATGAATTGATGATTGTGATTGTGGGGTAAAAAGTACATACTAATTCATCTTACTGTTCTCTCTATGCTGAAATTTAAGTCTATGCTTTAAACTTCCCATGATAAAAAATGTTTTTAAATTATAAAACATGGGGCTGGTGTTATGGCACGTGGGTTAAGCCTCTACCTGCAACACCAGTATCCTGTATGAGTGTCAGTTAAAGTTCTGGTTGCTCCACTTCAAGTTCAGTTCCCTGCTAATTTTTCCTAGGAAAGCAGCAGAAAAATGGCCAAAGTATTGGGCCCCTACCACCCATGTTGGATAGCTGGATGGAGTTCCAGGCTCCTGGCATTAGCCTGGCCTAACCCTAGCCATTGTGGCCATTTGGGGAGTGGAACAGTGGACATCTCTTTCTCTGCTAACTCTGCCTTTCAAATAAATAAAATTAATCTTTTCTAAAAAATTACAAAACAATCTGTTCACCCTACTTCTCAATACTCACTTTACAGTACAGGTGAATCGAGTAGAAAGCTTCATAATGGCAGTGAGGGCATAACCTCGTGTCACTGAGGTGGACATGTTAGAAATTAGGACACTCTCTAAAATATCCAACACTTCATCCTCTGTTACCTGGGGTGAAAAAATAAGCATGGAGAACAAATGGTAACAATAAACAACTAAATCTGATATCAAGTCAGAGATGCTACCAGAAAGATAATCCTGCCCTTACAAAATTCTCTAACATAATCTGGGCTAAGCCAGAATAACTGTCTAAGATGTTGCATCAACCACAAGCAGACAATAAAAGGGGATAGAAAATGACCACTGGGACCTAGCAAGCATATTATACCTTCAAGTGACAGAAGGAGAGGAAATAAAAGATACAGAGTTCAAGCACTGTTGCCACAACTTTCTCTAAAGTCAGTCCTTTCATGATCAATGGGAATACATATACGTGTCTCATTTCTTCTTGTTTATCAGCTAGAGGGTAAGAGAAATAACAATTCAATCTGCTAGACTAGGGAAAGAGGCCTAAAGAGGTTTTAAAAACTCAACATGGAGGGCTGGCACTGTGGTGCAGCAGGCTAAGCCTCCACCTGTGGTGCCGACATCCTATAAAGGCGCCCATACAGGTGTCAGCTGATAGAATCCAGCTCTCTGCTATGGCTTGGGAAAGCAGTAGAAGCTGGCCCAAGTGCTTGGGCCTCTGTACCCATGTGGGGGACCTGGAAGAAGCTACTAGCTTTGAATAGGCTCAGCTCCAGTCACTGTAGCCATTTGGGGAGTGAACCAAGTGGATGGAAGACCATTCTTTCTGCTCCCTATCTGTCTGTAACTCTGCCTTTCAAATAAAATCTTTAATTAAAAAAAAAATGCAACATGGCCCAACAAATTCTATCTTAAAAAAAATGGCAAGGTTCCCAATACAATTCTAGAATTACTCCTTTAAAAAGTTTTCAAGGGGGGCCAGCACTGTGACAAAGCGGGCACCTGCATCCCATATGGGCACTGGTTCAAGTCCCAGCTACTGCACTTCTGATCCAGCTCCCTGCTGATGAACTTCAAAGAGCAGTGGAGGATGACCCAAGTCCTTGGGTGTCTGCACCCATGTGGGAGACTCGGAAAAAGCTCCTGGCCCCTGGCTTCAGACTGGCTCATGTCCATTGTGGTTATTTGGGGAGCGAACCAGCAGATGGAAGATTTGTCTCTTCCTCTCTCACTATGGCTCTGCCTTTCAAATAAATAAATGTTTAAAAAAATTATTTTATTTATTTGAAAGAGTTACAGAGAGAGGTAGAGACAGAGAGAGGTCTTCCATCTACTGGTTCACTCCCCAAATGGCTGCAACAGCTGGAGCTGAGCCAATCAGAATCCAGGAGCCAGGAGCTTTTTCCGAGTCTCCCACGTGAGTACAGGCACACAAGGACTTGGGCCATCCTCTGCTGCTTTCCCAGGCTCATCAGCAGGGAGCTGGATCAGAAGTGGAATAGCTGGGACCCGAACTGGCACCCATAAAGAAGGGATGCAGGCACGGCAGGCCACGGCTTTAACCTGCACAACGCTGGCCCCAAAATAAAACATTTTAAAAAAGTTTTCAAGGAACCAACCTTAACTTCCTCTTAAACACTTTCCTCCTATAACCAAAAATATTCTTTCTTTTCCTCCTTAACCAAGAACAACAAGGGGTACCTGAATAGGTTCTTCCTCTTCACACTGGCCAGACACAAGAAGATCACCATATTCACCTATACACCACGCAGCCACTTGTACCAAAGGTTGCTGTCAAAAGAAAGTCAGCATTTGTTGAAGACTTCAATCTTTACAAAGATATTTAATGCAAATAACTGGCCATCTTATCAAAAAGGTCTAAAGAGAGCACACCTAGAGTGCTATCAGTAAGAAACTTACCAGGGAAATAAAGCAGAAAGAAAAGCAAATACAAATGAAATACTTACTTGAGAATAATCACCAAGAATTGCTTTGTACAAGCGCTGGACAGTATAGGCATGCATCTCCACACTATTGGTTATTAACTGGATCAAATTGGGAACTGCATCGTCACGAACATAACTTCCTGCCTAAAAGAAAATGCAGACAGTCACTCTCAGAACACACAGCAATGACAATAATGTTTGCCACTACTGCTATTGTTGCTAGAAGACTAACCTCAAAACACCCTCAGAAATAAACTTGGTACTAATTCTCAGGTTCCTAAGTTGCTCAAACTTTAAAGTCTTATTAAATATTTTTACTATTTACATTTTATCAAAAACCATATTTCTCCAAATTACAAGTAAAATATAAAGGTTTAAAATGTCAAGAAAAGCCATTTCTACTCAAAACAGTTTAAGGCCTAACATCTAAAAATTTAAGAAGTTTTCACTGGGGAACTAAATTATAATCCCTCTTTGCTTCCCACAACCCTCAACATTTTTAAAATCATGCAGGCAAACAAAGGTAGTCATGTTTCTCTGTGGGATGGAGACATGAAGTACACACAGTTCAAAAGGACAAATTAAGATAAAAGGAATTAAAAAAGTAGTAACTTCTTAAAAACAAGTTTATTTTAAAACATCACCCTGTCCTTTAAAAAGAATTGTTTACAGGCCGGCACCCGGCTCACTAGGCTAATCCTCTGCCTTGCGGCGCCGGCACACCGGGTTCTAGTCCCGGTCAGGGCACCAGATTCTGTCCCGGTTGCCCCTCTTCCAGGCCAGCTCTCTGCTGTGGCCCGGGAGTGCAGTAGAGGATGGCCCAAGTGCTTGGGCCCTGCACCCCACGGGAGACCAGGACAAGTACCTGGCTCCTGCCATCGGATCAGCGCAGTGCGCCTGCCGCAGCGCGCTGGCCGTGGCGGCCATTGGAGGGTGAACCAACGGCAAAAGGAAGACCTTTCTCTCTGTGTCTCTCTCTCACTGTCCACTCTGCCTGTCAAAAAAAAAAAAAAAAAAAAGAATTGTTTACAAATATTACAGAACCAACAACACTACTCTCAGAAATGGCACATATTTCTTATTTATTTATCTATGCTTTTCTTTTAACATGGTCTCCTGAATGTCCTACAAACTAGTGGAGTCTGAAACACTTTCTGCAACCACACAACCTAAAAACAGGCTGCATAAAAGATACAAACAGGGTTGGCACTGTGGTATAGTAGGACAAGCCTCCATCTGTGGCACTAGCACCCATATGGATACCAGTTCATACCCAGGCTGTCCCTCTTCCAATCCAGCACTCTGCTAGTGGCCTGGGAAAGCAGTGGAAGATGGCCCAAGTGCTTCAGCCCCTACACCCACAAGGAAGACTGGGACAAAGCTCCTGGCTTCGAATCAGCCTAGCTCCAGCCATAGCGGCCATTTGGGGAGTGAATCAGCAGATGAAGACCTTTCTCTCTGTCTCTCCCTCTGTCTAACTCTACTTCTCACAAACACACACACACAAAGAACCCATGCCTAGTATCAGCCAACCTGGTTCAATCTCCCATTTCCAAACAAAACAGCAGATCTAACTTACAAGACTGAGACCAGGGCTATTCACAGGAAAAAAAAAAAAAAACACACACACACACACACACACAAAACCTCAAGACTGAAACACTCACACCTGTTAAGAAACACAATTTAGAAAAAGCATCGAAAGGAAAAGTGAAAAGCTAAAAAAGCAAATATGATATAATTTAGGTATTTACATTCTTCCCCAACCAGAGAAATCAGAATGCTTTAAGTAAGAAAAAGCATTAGAACAATCTCATTGACATTTATGGACTACTTTATCCAGCAACAGCAGAAAATACATCCTTCTTAAAATCACACTGAGCTACCAGAGGCCATATTCCAAGCCATTAAAAAATCTGAACAAATAGGAAAGAACAGAAATCAGACAAAGTGTGTTCTTCAACCACAATGAATTGAACTAGAAACCAGTAATGCAAAGACAGTTGGAGAATTCCAAATATCTGGAGACTAAAATGACATATTTCTAAACACACAAGGGTCAAAAGAGACACTACAAGAAAACTATAGACTAACAGATCTCATCAACACAGATACTGAAATCCTCAGCAAAACAGTGAATCAAATCCAACAATGTATAAAAAGAATGATAGAACTGACAATGTGGGATGTTTTTCAGATATAGAGGGCTGATTCAAACATTCAAAAATCAAGTAATATAATCTAACACATCACATGCTAAAGAAAAAATTCATTTAATCATAATAAGAGAATGTACTCAGTAGGAAAAATAAAAAGTAGGACAACAAAACAAGTCCTTCAATTTTGATAAATGTTTTCCTTCTTTGGGGCCTCACAAAAACTATGAAACTGTATCTTGTTTCATTGCATGTTTTGCCAGAATGCAATTTTCCCCATTATTAATCACGTCTATTAACTTTTGTTGTAACATTGAGGCAGACATTTGACCTAGCTGTGAAGACACCACTGGGGATGCCAGCATCACATACCAGAGTGTCTAGGTTTGAGTCCTGGCTGTTCCTGATTCCATCTTCCTGTTAACATGTACCCTGGGAGGCAGCAGGTGACTGCTCAAGTACTTGGGTCCCTGCCAACCACATGGAAGATTTGACCTTGCAATGGCCCATTCTCAGGCACTGCAGGCATTTGGAGAATAAAGCAATATAGATAGAGTTCTCTCTGTCTCTGTCTTTCAACTAAAAACAATTAGTTCACTGTAAGCAAACTAGAAAACTAATACGTCTCAAATAGAATTCCACAGTAACAAATACATATAAATCATAATTCTGGCCTATAGGTGCTTCATAATTATTTAATCCTCACTTGGGGACTACTAGTTGTTTCCAGTTTTCCCTTATTATAATAAAAACGAGATTGGGATACTTCTATATATACATTTTTGCATCCTTCTATTTTTCTAAGATAAACTTCTAAAAACTGCATTAATGAATCAAAAGGTATGAACAGTGCTGCCTGCTTCTTCTTTTTTTTTAATGAACAAAATGCCTCCTTTTGCTGGTTCTTCTCCAAATGCTCTCAATAGCTTGGGCTATGCCAGGCTGAAGCCAGAAGCCAGGAACTTGATTCAGGTCTCCCACATGTGTGGCAGCGATGCAAGTAGTTCAATCATCACTTGATGCCTCCAGGGTTCACAACAGCAGGAAGCTAGAATACAGACAGGACAAGGACCCAAAGCCAGGCACGCCAATGTGGGATGCAGGCATCCAAAGCAGAGTCTAAACTACTATGCCAAACAAATGTCCCCTGTTTGTCTTCTTTCTAACCAACACCATGAATTTGATTAAAAAGAATGATTCATTAACAAAGATACCTCACATTTATTTTACTTATTATTTCTTTACCAGTAAGGGTATTTTTTCAAATTTTAGTTAGCTATTTCTTTCTTCTTTTGTGAACTGTCTGTTCAAATGCCAATTATTTGATTAAAGTACTTGATTTTTCCTAGTAATTGTAAATTACTTATAGATTTAAACTATCAATGTCCTGTCATATGTTAACATTATTTTACCCTGGTTGTCACTTGCCCTTTAAATTACATCTTTCCCTTTTGCTATGTAAATTTTTAATTTTTATTAAAATGGTCAAATTTCTAAGTATTTTCCTTTACAGCCACAGTGAGGAACCTTTTTTTCTGGCAAGGGCCATTTGGATATTTATAATATTCATGGGCCCTACAAAATCATCAACTTAAAAATCAGCCTGCTATAGATTTACTGAATTTTGAGTCCTGCCCACAGTCATAACGGATGATTTCATGGGACTTATACAGCCCAAGGGCCCCACCCCTACTTTGCAGTATTTATTGGTCGTGTGATTAGATATAAATAGCTGCTTCCTTCGTATGCCATTGTGTACTTTCACTCTTGAGGCTTTAATTCCTTTAAACCAAAAGATATAGAAGCCCCAAAGTTCTGAAAGAACACCAAAGAAGGGATACCTTCTAAAGCAGGAATTGTAAATCCTGAATAAATTTAGTCATCTAAGACTCCAGAAAGGTTTTCTATCATATTAAAAATAAAATCAAGCTCCATGCCCTAAATCTAAGAATAATTCAGAAAGTTCATGGAAAACACACATTATCTTTTCAGTGCATTTTCCCACAATCTTTCTTAAGCACCCTTGTAATCTCACCTCTGCTGGTCTCTGACCAAGCCTACCATTCACTGGTTCTCTAGCTTTGCTGACTTCACTTGCCATCACGTTGCTTTCCAAGCAGGCCAAGCCTATTGCTGCTCAGATCTCTGTACTTCCCTTTGATCTTCCCAGACATTCTGGCTCAGCCTGCTGCACACTTCACTAAGCTACTTAAATATTAACTTCTCTGTGAGAGTTGCTGTGACTCTACTTAGAACACTTATCAGCTGACACATATCTCAGCCTATCCTGCCAGCATTTCATTCCCTCGTACTGCTTTAGTTTTTTTTTTTTTTTTTTTTTTTTTTTTATTTTGACAGGCAGAGTGGACAGTGAGAGAGAGAGACAGAGAGAAAGGTCTTCCTTTGCCGTTGGTTCACCCTCCAATGGCCGCCGCGGCCGGCGCGCTGCGGCCGGCGCACCGCGCTGATCCGATGGCAGGAGCCAGGAGCCAGGTGCTTTTCCTGGTCTCCCATGGGGTGCAGGGCCCAAGCACCTGGGCCATCCTCCACTGCACTCCCTGGCCACAGCAGAGGGCTGGCCTGGAAGAGGGGCAACCGGGACAGAATCCGGCGCCCCCGACCGGGACTAGAACCCGGTGTGCCGGCGCCGCTAGGTGGAGGATTAGCCTAGTGAGCCGCGGCGCCGGCCGCTTTAGTTTTTTTGCATAGCATTTATCCCTATCTGCCATTGCATTATAGCAGAGGTTACTTGAAACTTCATGGAAAAATATAATTAAAAGGTAAGTTCTTGGGAAAGAACACATTTTTGATCAAGGGATCTCTCTTTCCCCAAGATGCCAGCTTCTTGAAATAAAGTCTTTCTTCTTGTTTTTTTGTTTTGTTTTGTTTTGTTTTTTAAAGTAAGTTCACTTTGGTGCAAAAGTATTTTAGAATCATATATGTAAGTGGGTTTTCAGAAAGTTCAGGGAAATGCCTATTATGAAGGAACTATGCATAGAAATCAGTATTTTTTACACCAAAATAAAATTACCTTTTAAAACCGTTGATCCACGAACTTTCTGAAGCACCTTCATATCTTTCCCATGTATTTCCTATCTCCTTGACTGGAATATAAGCTTCATGAAAACAACAGCTTTTGTCTGCCTCATTTACCAGTACATTCCAGCATTTAGGATACGCTGACTGAACAATCTACTTACCGTTGTCAAAACACGCATAATGGTGTCTATATGCCACCGTTTGGAAGGTGCATACCTGAGAAGACAATGGCACAGGGTGAGAAAACTGAAACCAGTAAATTATCCTGTACTCAGTGACTTGCCAAAGTCCTGTCCTACAGGCTTCTCTCTAGATTCCTTGGTGAAGTGATTATATTTGGAAACATTTCACCTTCCAACTTAACAGCCAAAGCCATTTCAAAGGTGATGAAACAATACACAGCCATACTCGGGGTTTCACATGTACTGGAACAGCTGAGATGAGGACTGGGAGTTTTTGTCTCCATTCCCTCAGAACACAAATCATGTATTAAGGAAGGGAGAGAAGGAAGAAAGAAAAGGGACAGATCCAGACAACAGGACTAGGACCTCATTCCTTTAAATTCAGAGTAGAAGAGGTCAGCGCCGTGGCTCACTTGGTTAATCCTCTGCATGCGGTGCCAGCATCCCATATGAGTGCCAGGTTCTAGTCCCAGTTGCTCCTCTTCCAGGCCAGCTCTCTGCTGTGCCCTGGGAGTGCAGTGGAGCATGGCCCAAGTGCTTGGGCCCCTGCACCCACATGGGAGACCAGGAGGAAGCACCTGGCTCCTGGCTTCAGATCAGCATAGCTCTGGCCGTGGAGGCCATTTGGGGGGGGAGGGTGAGCCAACGGAAGGAAGACCTTTCTCTCTGTCTCTCTCCGGAAGGAAGACCTTTCTCTCTGTCTCTCTCTCTCTCTCACTGTCTATAACTCTACCTGTCAAATTAAAAAATTTTTTTTCAGAGTAGAAAGGAGGAGTAGCCATCCAACTGAAATCCTGAGGGGCTTCCTCCAAAAGCTTTGCACAGAATTACAATTCAGATCCTGCAATTTTTCCATTCCCTTCACAAAAACAACATTGCAGTGAAAAGTAAAGAGCAGATACAAAAGGAGATTTCATAAAAGCGGGGTTTTTTAATAACAAAATTAAATACTAATATAATGGCCTTTCAGAGCTGATAATTGGGAGCTTGAAATAAATGCTCCAAGTTTTAAACTTATTTACACCATTTCCCCCAAGTTTTAACAACACTTTCAAAAAGTTCCAAGCATCTCCTATCATGAAAGGTAAAAATAAAATCTTACTTTTCTGCAGCAAGAAAGATTCCAGATGCACAGTCTGCTTTAAATTCTGGCTCACAGGAATCCAGAAAATAAAGTAATTCCTTCATCATGCCTCGGATATTATTCCCATTTACTAGGGCAAAACTCAATTCCATTGCACGCCTTAAAGAGGAAGGAAAAAGTTAGGATATTAACAGTGGGAATGAAGCAAAGACCTAGATATGCTCTCTGGGAATACCAAGTACCGGCAGATGTATCAGTGTCCTTACACAATTTTGTAATCTCAATCCTTACATGCAAGACAACCAAGCAGACTTATTCTTATGTAATCAAAATTAGTTTTGAAATTCTGAATCTTCATTCAACACTTTTCTTCTAAACTGCAGTTTTGGTTCAACAGTTTATTCTAAAAAGCTGAAATTTAGCATACTTAAGAAACTCAGAAAGAGAGGCAATAAAATTATTACTCAACAACAGTATCTCTCTGCCTTATTCTTTAAATGTGATCTATTAAGTCACCATAGTCTCATTACATCCACTTCTGTGCAAAAAAGATGCAATACATATATATCTAATGGTAGCAGGAAAATTAGGATAACACAATGAAAGGGAGAATGAGGACCATGAAAAGTAGGAGAAAAGGGTATGCATGATGAGGGCAAAGAATTCTATAACTGCCTGCCACATTGGTAAGGCAGGTAAAAATGGATGTATTTAACATGAAAGGTTACCATATGTATCTTTTCATATATGATGAATAATTTCAAATATTGTATATTACGTAATTTTCAAAAACACCAATTCAACAAGTACAAAATACTGTTAGATAACATAAAATTAATAAAAACTGAATCCTAGGCCACTGTTATGGCATAGCAGGTTAAGCAGTCACCTGTGACACTGGTATCCCATATGAGTGCCAATTCCAGTCCCAGCTGCTGCACTTCTGATATAGCTACCTGCTAATGCACCTGTGAAAGCAGTGGAAGACAGCCAAAGTACTTTGGGCCCCTGGCACTCACATGGCAGACGTGGATAGAGCATGAGACTCCTGCATTTGGCCTGGCCCAGCCCGAGTCACTGTGGCCATTTGGAGAGTGAATCAGAAGACAAAAGATCTCTTTTGCTGTCTCTCCTTCTGTCACTCTGCCTTTCAAAAAAAAAAAAAAAAAAAGCCTTTTTTTTTTTTTGAAAGGAGACTGAGAGGAGGTCAGAGGCAGTTTTGTAAAAAATAAAAGTAGGGCCTGGCATTGTGGTACAAGTTAGGCTACCTCCTACAACACTAGCATCCCACACGAGCGCCGGTTCTTGGACCCGCTGCTCCAAAGCTGACCCAGCTCCTTGCTGATGCTCCTGGAAAAGCAGCAGTAGATGGCCCTGGTCAATGGGCCCCTGTCATCCACATCAAAGACCAAGATGGAGTTCCAGGCTTCTGACTCAGCACAGCTCAGCCCCAGCCCTTGAAGCCATTTGGGGAGTAGACCAGCACGTATCTCTCTATCTCCCCCCTTGCCTCTCTTCCCTGTCAAATAAATAAAATCTTCAAAAGCATATAATTTTTTGAAGATGTATTTATTTATTTGAGTGGCAGAGTTATAGAGAGAGTCAGAGAGAGACAGAGGGAAAGGTCTTCCATCTTCTGGTGTGCTTCCCTAAATGGCCACAACGGCCAGAGCTGGGCTGATCCAAAGCAAGGAACCAGAAGCTTCTTCCAGTTCTCCAACATGGGTGCAGGGACCACGTGGGCCATTTTCCACTGCTTTTCCAGGCCATAGACAGAGAGCTAGATCCAAAGAAGAGCAGCCAGGACACAAACCGGTGACCATATAGGATGCCGGCACTGCAAGTGGAGGCTTACCTGCTATGCCATAGTGCTAACCCCCCCCCAAAAAATTTAAAAAGCAACAATATCAATAATTATAAATTCAATCCTCAGATAAATATAGAAATTACTACTCTTATGCAATGCATTGGGAATTTATATATATACACACACTTACTAATTCAGTTAATCTTGCATAATACTCTAAAGTGGATGCTCTTCCATCTACATTTTACAAGTGAGGCAGTCAAAGGTTAGACAATTTGACCCAGTCTATTAAAAGTAGAGCCAGCTTTTGAAATGAGGCAGCCTGGCTCCAGTATCTGAGCTTGTACTATTAAATATCCCGTCAAGGAGCCACAGATTTTACTTTTGGATTTCAGCACACAAACGAACTGTAGAGAAACAAGTCTAATTTCTACTCCTAGGACTGTGCCATATAAACATTAAGATTTAGAGTAGGGCATTTGATCTCTTTAGGATTATACACTAACTAATCTGTAAACTAAGGATCAAAGCAATTGCTTAGTCTCTCTCATTGGGTTGCTCTGACAACCAAGAGGGTACTCCAAAAAGCCTTAGCAAAAGGACCACATAAAAATTAGTATCACAGGGTTGTGATATGGCAAAATGGGTTAACCTACCATCTGGACACTCATATCCCATATCAAAGTGTCAGTTATGAGTCCCAGCTGGAAGGCTTCCCATCCAGCTCCCTGTGTCTGGGAAAGCAATAGGAGATGGTCCAAGTGTTTCTGTCCCTGTCACCCATGTGGGAGACCCAGATGGAGTTCCAGGTTTCCAGCCTCAGCCTGGCCCAGTCACAATTGTTGCAGCCATGTGGAAAGTGAATCAGCAGATGGAAGATATCTCTCTCTCTCCCCCCCACCCCATGTGTCTCTCCCTCTCAAATACAAATACAATAAAATTTTTTTAAAGCTAGTGTTACTGAGTCTAGGCCCTAGCTTTAGTTTGCCCACACAGTTAGTATCTGTTCTGTGAAGAAAAAAAAATCATTATTAACAAATGTTTGCTTACTAAGGCCAAACTATACCTAGGTTTTATAAACATCTATAGTTCTTCTAAGAGGAAACTCCATCTAGAGAAGAGACTCATTCCTTCTGAAGGTGCTATCAGCTGCTGAACAGTCTTTCCTAGTTGCAATGTTCTAAGAAACTTGGCTTCCTCCAGTATCCTGGGGCTTAAGCACTGTGAAAATTGTGTGCTGTCAGCAATGTGAGTTTCAGCATTGTGATGAGACACTTAGCCGATGGATCACTCCATATTTTCATCCTCCAACACACAGAGCACAGTACTTTTAATAAATAAAATTCCATCCACCTTGTCTATACCTGTTATATTAATCAAAGAACCAAGGAATAGAGGCCAGCATCGAGTGTAGCATAATGGTTTAAACCAACACCTGAGATGCAGGCATCCCATAGAGCCCGAGTTCAAATCCCTGTTGCTCCAATTCCAATCCAGCTCCCTGGTACTGAGCCTGGGAAAGCGGCAGAAGATGGTCTAAGTACTTGGTCCCCTGCCACCCACATGGAAAATCTCAAAGAAGATCCTGGATCCCGGCTTATGCCTGACAACAGCCCCACACATTGTGGCCATTTGGGAAGCGAATGAGCAGATGGAAGATCTCTCCCTCTGTCTCAAATAATTCTTTAAAAAACAAATAAACCAAGGGCAACTTCAATGTACACTTATTTCTTATTGGCCTCCTTCACTGACCTAAACCTCTCCCTGTTAACTACTAAAAAAAAGGATTCATTCAGCAGAGTTCATCTATGAATGAAATGACTTAAAACATAGTATCAAGTAGGGGAACACAGAACTATCAATGACCATTCAACAAAAACACTATACTGAGAAAGATTCTGTCTGTTACCGTTTTATTGAGACATCCAAATCTTTTAGACAGTCCACAATTGTGCTCCTGTGCCTCTGTACTGCATTATGATCTGTTTGCACAGTCTTCAACAAGGATGTCAGAGCTACATATCTGGATGAAGCAGAGTTACAAAATAACACTTAAAATGTAACATTTAGGATAGTTTTACCCTTCATAAATAATGAAAACAAAGATGTCTAATGGCCAAGGGAAAGTATAGGGTTTTAAATATTTAAAAGCAAAGAGAGAGGTATACATGCAAAGGTAACATTTTAAAGACATAAGAGACAACATAATCTCAAGTAGTCACAATTAGGAGAAGCTTTGGATTTCTATTTGCATTCAGTCAAGCCCACTTAAACCTCTAAAAACTAACTGATTCAATTATTTCAAAATCTTTCAGTACTAGGACAAAATAAAAATAAAACATGCCTTTTCAAGCTGCCTTAGTCTCAGAATGTGACATGAAATTATTTTACCACCCTGTTTTTCTCTGCTTTGATACTGGTATCAAAACTGCCTCTGTAAAAATTTTAGTTTAAAACCCTACTGTTTAAAAAATCTTTTGGAAAAAGATAATTCAGCATGCTAACAAGGATTATTTCTACATCTTTTCATTATCAAAATAAGAAAGAAAAAACTGTCCTGATTAAGAAAAAAAAAAAAAAGCAAGCAGGAATGTAACAAAATAAAAGATAATACTGATCAATTCATCTACTTAAAAAAAAAACCTGGCTGGAATTCTCAAAAACATTCCAGATTTGCTACCTGAAATGTTACATTTTTCTTCTTAATTTAGAGCGGGGGTCAACAAACTACCACCCCCACTACAAAATCCAGCCCTCCGTTGTTCTGTAAATCAATCTTTGTTGAATACAATCATGTTCATCATTTACATATTGTCTATGATTTCACAAGTAGCTGCTTTAGAGACCCTGTGGCCTCTATAAAACATAAAATATTTACCACTTATCCCTTTACAGAAAAATATGCTGACTCCTGATTTACAATATAAATAGGAGTGAAAATTAAGCCACGAAGAAGACTCTCTAATTTATTTGTAAAATAGTTTTAAGAACAGACAAAAAATATTCCCAGTTGAAGATGAGTTTCTGGCACAATGAGTAAGATGCCACCTGGATGGGCTGGCGCCATGGCTCACTTGGTTAATCTTCTGCCTGTGGCGCTGGCATCCCATATGGGCACCAGGTTCTAGTCCCGGTTGCTCCTCCTCTACTCCAGCTCTCTGCTGTGGCCCGGGAGGGCAGTGGAAGATGGCCCAAGTCCTTGGGCCTCGGCACCTGCATGGGAAGAAGCACCTGGCTCCTGGCTTCAGATCAGCGCAGCGCCAGCCGTGGCGGCCATTGGGGGAGTGAACCAGTGGAAGGAAGACCTTTCTCTCTCTCTCTCTCTCTCTCTCTCTCACACTGTCTACAACTCTACCTGTCAAATAAATTAAAAAAATTTTTTTTTTAAAAAAAAGATGCCACCTGGAATGCCCACATCTCATACTGCAGAGCCTGGTTCAAGTGCCAGCTCCACTTCTGATTCAAATTCTTGTTAATGCACACCCTGGCAAGGCTGCAGTTGATGGTCCAGCACGTGGGTCCCTGCCACCCATGTGGGAAACCTGGTTGGAGTTCTAGGCTCCTGACTCTAGCCTGGCCTAGCCCTGGCTGAAGTGGGCATTTGTGAAGTGCACTGTCAGATGGAAGATACCTGACTATTCTTTTCAATTAAAAAAATTAAAATGAAAAAGTTCTAGATATGTCACTTAGTACAAGTGCAAACTTAAGCAAAAACCACTCTTGAAAATATTAAGTTTTAACACCTAAGATATCAGCAATTTACAGTTGACATACCTAATATTCTTGTCATTGTTCAGTAAGAAACGACCCAGGATATTAATGGCTAGAACCTAAAGAAAAACAGCATAGGTTAAAAATCTAGGAATAGTAAATATTTTTATCATTTCTTGTCACTGGTCATTTCCTAGCTTCTAACAGCTGTAAATTATTTAAAGGCAATAACTGATAGACTGCAATCAAAAAAGAAAAAAAATTCTAAAATATCTAAATGAAACTCTTAAAAACATATTCTTAGTCAATAGTAATTACAAGATTATGTTTGGAGGTTTAGATATTAGTGGGAGAAGAAAACTGTTAAGTTTCTTGGAAAGAAAATCTGGCAAAACTACAAATATTTAAAATAAAAATATATCAGGCTGGCACCATGGCTCACTAGGCTAATCCTCCGCCTGCGGCTCCGGCACTCTGAGTTCTAGTCCTGTTTGGGGCCCCGGTTCTATCCCGGTTGCTCCTCTTCCAGTCCAGCTCTCTGTTGTGGCCTGGCCTAAGAGGGCAGTAGAGGATGGCCCAAGTGCTTGGGCCCTACACCCGCATAGGAGACCAGGAGGAAACACCTGGCTCCTGGCTTCGGATCGGCGCAGATGCCGGCCGTGGCGGCCATTTTGGGGGTGAACCAATGGAAGGAAGACCTTTCTGTCTCTCTCTCTCTCTAACTCTGCCTGTCAAAAATATATATATAGTATATATATACATATATATACACACTATGCTTCAATAATTCCCCTTCTCAGAATTCATCTGGCAAATATAATCATATAACACTTCCTGCAACTTACAAGTGATAGAATACATCTTAAATGTCCATTAAAGCAAATTTGCAAAATATACTACAGTATAGCCATATAAGAGAGCATTATATAGTCATTAAAAAAATGCATTCTGACTTATGGAACAAAATGGATGAGTTCTGAATACATTAGGCTAAATGAAGACAGAATGGAAAGATAAATACTCCACTTTTAAGAGGAGGAGGTACCGTGACATGTGAAATGTATGTTTGGTCTTTATTGGTGTTTCTTGGCACACACTCCTAAACCCCTTGAAATTTTCTGAGTAACAGCAGCATCTTTAATTTTAATGAGGCAACTTTTGATGGATTCTTGGAATGGTTATGGGTTAGGAGTTTCAGTAGATCCTAGCCCTCGGCAGAGGAGAGGTGCTGAAGGTTACACTGATCACCAATGACCAATGCTTTGAACACTCATGCTATATAACGAGGCCTGCAGAAGAACAGCATTCAGAGGAGGTTCTACACAGATGAGTTTCCTGAAGGGTGGCACACCTAGAGAGAAAATGATGTTCCTGATCCCTTCCCACTTGCCTTGCCCTATGCATCTCTCCCACGTGGCTATTCACATAAACACTCTGTAACATCCTTTACAGCAATCTGGTAAATGTAAGTATAGCATTTCCCTAACTTTGAGGCACTCCAGAAAATTAACCAAATATAAGGAGAAAGTCACAGGAATCAGATTTATAAGCAAGTCAATCAAACCAGTGTTTGGGAATGGCATCTGAAGTAGGGGCAGTCTTGTGGGACTAAGTCCTCAATCTGTGGTACCAAGCACTAACTCCAGGTAGGCAGTATCAAAACAGAATTAAATTCAAGAACACCTAGCTGTCATCTGCCAGAAAACTGTTTGGTGTGCACCCATACAGGTGGTGTCAGAAGTTAGGTGCTGAATGACTATGTGAGAATAGCGAAAACATTTTGGTATTGAGGTGTTTCTGTTTTTCTGTGTATCTCTTCAGAGGTACTTAAGAGGAGTCAAATTCATGGCAAAAACAGAATGGTGGTTGCTAAGGAGTAGGAGTGTTGGGGAAAAGGGAATTACTGTTCAGTGGATACAAAGTATCCATTATAAGAAAAAGTCATACTTCATTCTTCTCGTTCTTATTAATTCATTTATTTATTAGTATTAGAATTGCAAATTCATAGCCTCATAAAAAATTACCAACTGGAATACAGTGTTTGTATATAGTTCCTTTTGTCTTTGTTTAGTATTACAGTATCCAAATAACTGTAGTAACTTAGATGTTTTCCATTCTCTACCTATCCTGAAAATGGAAGCATAATATATATTGTACTTGGGTGCTTGGCACCTATATGGGAGTCCAGGATGGAGTTCAATTTGGTTTCAATCTGGTCCAGACCTGGCTGTTGTGGCCACTTGGTGAGTAAGTCAGTGAATGAATGTATATGTGTCTCTCTCTCTGTCACTCCACCTTACAAAAAAATAAATAAACCTTAAAAATAAAAAGTCTCAGGAGAACAGGTACTTACTTACTAGTCTCAAAGTGTTACCCACAAAATATTTTAATTACAAGGCAAAAACAGTAACTTTACAGTACAGAGATCAGCACACATAAACTTTACCAAATGATCAAGGTTAACATCACCAGTGGAGACAGATAGCATGTACCTCCCAGTTGTAACAAACTAAGAAGGGCACATCACTTCTGCAGTTTTGCCAAAACAGCATAACCGTATTCTATAAAATTCTGAGAAAATATGAGATAAACTGAGGTACACCCTACAAAAAGAATTGATCAGTACTCTTAAAAAAGTCCTAATTTAGGTAATAGTGTGGTATCAGTAACTTCTTAATTTTGATAACAACACTATAAATATGCAATATGTTAATATTAGAGGAAGCTGGGTGACCAATGTAGGGCACATAGGAACTCTGAATTATTTTTCAAACTTTTCTCTAAGTCGAAAATTACTACAAGTAAAAGTTTTGGGGGACCAGCACCGTGGCACAGTAGGTTAATCCTCCACCTGCTGCGCTGGCATCCCACATGGTCACCAGGTTCTAGTCCTGGCTGCTCCTCTTTCAATCCAGCTCTCTGCTGTGGCCTGGGAAAGCAGTGGAATATGGCCCAAGTGCTTGGGCCCCTGCACCCATGTGGGAAACGGGGAGGAAGCACCTGGTGCCTGGTTTCAGATTGGTGCAGCTCCGGCAGCTGTGGCCATTTGGGGATTGAACCAATGGAAGGAGGACCTTTCTCTGTTTCTCCCTCCCCCTGTCTGTAACTCTACCTTTCAAATAAATGAATAAAATCTTTTAAAAATAATAATAATAAGTTTTGGAAAAGAGGAGTGTTTGGCACAACACCTGAAGTTGCTGTCAGAATGCCTGAATTCCCTATCAGAGTGCCGAGTTTGAGTCTTAGCTCCTTTGATGCCAATCCAGCTTCCTGCTAAAGTGCACCTTGGGAGGCAGCAGATGGGTCCCTACCATTCAAATGAGAGATCTTGATGAAGTCTGAATTCCTGGCTTTGGTCTGGCCCAGCTCTTGACTGCTGTGGGTACTTGTGGAGTGATCTAGCAGATAAAAATCTCGCGCGTGCGCTTGGGGCTGCCACTGTGGTGTAGTAGGCTAAGCTTCTGCCTGTGGCGCTAGAATCCCACAGGGGGACCAGTTCCTGTCCCAGCTGCTCCGCTTCCAATCCAGCTGTTTGTGGCCCAAGAAAGCAGTGGAAGGTGGCCCAAGTGCTTAGGCCCCTGCACCCACGTGGAGATGTGGAGGAATATCCTGGCTCCGGGCTTTGGATCCGCCCAGCTCCGGCCACTGTGGCCATTTGGGGAGTGAACCAGAGCATGGAAGACCTTTCTCTCTGTCGCTCACTCTCTCTAAAATAAGTAAAGTCTTTAATATATATATATAAAATTAATATATATCTTTCTTTAATATATATATATCTTTCTCTCTTCCTTTCAAATAAAGTAAATAAAAAGTGAAGAATAAATATACATGTACAGACACATTTATAAGTCTCAAAATACATACTAGCAAAATAGTAACAGCATTTCCCCTCATGAAATCTAAAAGGTAGATATTTTCCTCTTTCTACTTTTGGTATTGGTTGAATTTCTTACTTTAAATGCTTATGCCTTAAAGAAAAAAAAATAATGTTCAACATGTCCTGCTTTAAGCAATGAGCAAATTTCAAATTGTGATTCTAACAAAAACCTACTCTGAAATGTTTCCTTTGGGGCTGGTGTCGTGGCAAAGTGGGTAAAGCCGCAGCCTGAAATGCCAGCATCCCATTATAGGTGGCCAGTTCATGTTCCAGCTGCTCCACTTCTGATCCAGCTCTCTGCTAATGCACCTGGGAAAGCAGCAGAAGATGGCCCAGGTACTTGGTTGGGTTCCTGCAACCCACTTGGGAGACTCAGATGAAGCTCCTGGTTCCTGGCTTTGGCCTGGCCTAGCATGGCCGTTGCAGCCATTTGGAAAGTGAACCAGCAAATGGAAGATAGCCCACTCTCTCTCTCTCTCTCTGTCTCTCTGTAATTCTGCCTTTAAAATAAATAAAATATATCTTTAAAAAAAAAAAGTTTCCTTGATTCAAGAGTATCTATATAATTAAGTACAGCTAAGCTCTTTGAAACTTTTTAATAATTATTGTTAAATCTTCAATGGGAGGCAATAATACTCAAATACCAAACATACAGCATTACACATTTTCCATCATTCCTTCCTAAAGTCAGGTTCCAAATGAAATCCCATTTCAAAGTATTATAGTTCAAATCAATCAAAATAAATAAAAAGCATAGGGGATAAAAAGATTTAAAAAAGGACTTACTCGCAGTCCACTCTCTGACTTGATATCCATGATAGTCAAAACTGTTTCATAAAGAATAGCATTTCCTACATTCTTACTCGTCTCTGTATTAGTGGCAACCTGAAGAGACACATGGAGCAGTACATTAAGTGATAAAACAATGCTGCCAAAAATATCAAGAGGTAATGAGATATATTATGATCATAACCACCAACAGACAAATATAAAAACTGCTCCACATAGTAGCAATCATCAAACTACTCCCTATTAAATTCAAATTTAATATAATGTAAGTTAGATCTACTCACCTGTGCTAATATATCATTCATAGCTTCACTTGAGTCATCATCATTTCGTCCTAAAATTCTTAATAACCGCAAAATTCGTACCTAAAATGCAAAATATGATGTATCAACAAACTATGTTTGAACAAAGAAATCTCACTTAGTACGAAATCCAAATCTGAGATCCTATCAGATACGGTCAAAATTATAAGAATTCTCAACATTCTCTTTAGAGAAACTACATATGCTTCTATATCTTACGAAATTATTATGCAACCTAGACTTCACCATTCCACAGCTAAAGAATATCACCACCAGAAAGCTGTATTGTTCCAGGTGTCCAAGTAGCATATATATATTTTTTTAATTTATTTGACAGTTATAGACAGTCAGAGACAGAGACAGAGAGAAAGTCTTCCTTCCGCTGGTTCACTTCCCAAATGGCTGCTACAGCAGCGCCGTGCCAATCTGAAGCCAGGAGCCAGGTGCTTTTTCCTGGTCTCCCATGTGGGTGCAGGGCCCAAGCACTTGGGCCATCCTCCACTGCCCTCTTGGGCCAGGCCACAGTAGAGAGCTGGACTGGAAGAGGAGTAACCGGGACTAGAACCCAGTGCCCATACTGGATGCCGGCGCTGCAGGCGGAGGATTAACCAAATGAGCCACGGTACCGGTCCAAGTAGTATATTAAAACTTTAATTTCTGGGGCTGGCACTTTGGTGTAGCCACCACCTGAACTGGCAACATCCCATTTGGGTGCCAGTTCAAGTCCCGGCTGCTTCACTTCCGATCCAGCTCTCTGCTATGACCTGGGAAAGCAGTAGACTCACATGGGAGACCTGGAAGAAGCTCCTGGCTCCTGTCTTTGGATAGCCACAGCTCTGGCCAACTGGGGAGTGAACCAGTGGATGGAAGATCAATCAATCGATTGATCTCTCTCTGCCTCTCTTTCTGCGTAACTCTTTCAAGTAAATAAATACTAAAAATGTAATTTCACTATCTCAATCTAATAAAATATAGAATTGTACACCTACTCATTTAGTAATGTAATTAATCTGACTACCACACTTCTACCAAATACAAACCTAAGAGACAGGAAATGGTCTGTTCCTTTGGTATTAACTTCACATTATATTTATTCAAAATTTTTTCAACCTCACCTGCAAAAAGGGGTCACTGATACCAGAAACATCATGTTCTGGTGAATATCCGGACATAATGAGGTTCTTGAGAATACGAACTAATTGGGGCACAAGCTGCAGGGAAAAAAGAGGCACCAAAAAAAGTGAGTATCAAGGAATATCTCATGAATAAATAAGTCTTTTCATTTAGAATAAGGGTACAAGGATCTGAATTCAAGCAAATTCTACTGATAAAAATATAACAGTATACTGTAGGTGTCTGATAAATTCAACTGGAAGTACTTAGGCAAAAAACACAAGAAGTATCTATTTTATCTGAAAACAAACAAACCAGACTTCTTTACTGTGGAATTATATATGAAAAGTTATTACAAACAACAGTAGCCCAGAAAGCCTATGGAACTCACGTAAAGCAGATGCCTACTAAGAATACTGCATTTCTACTTCTGTAGAACTTGACATAATAAGGTGGCAAAAACATTTAAACACTTGAAAATGCATCACAGCAAAATGTAAATGGTGACCACATTAAAATAATAGCTTTAAGACATACCAACTCAAACAAAAAAATTTCTATCCTCTATAGGTACAGTTATATTCTTCAACGAACAGAGAACACCGAAGCCAACAACATTAACCAAATGGAAAAGACACATGAAGAAAAAAAAATGGTATCTTTTATCTTAAGAAGATACAGGCCATGAATAATTTCCTCACCCAATTCTTAACTCATCTGCAATAATTTTTATTTAAGTTTAGTTACATACACAGCTTTGCAGCCTGTTTTCTTGTCTGAATCTGCCAATGAAATTATACCTGCCTTACAGTCAGGAATTCTTTTCTTAACCTTTCTTTAATTTCTCCACTAAAGTCATAACACATAATAGAGGCAATTTTACTGCCAATAAGAACTTACAGACACTTTAAGTATCAGCACTCATTTCTTTTCTTTTGGTCAATTACTTGATGCTAAAACCCTACTCCAAAATGTTTGTCACTATAGAAATTTTGCCAGTCACCAATTAAAAACTCAATTTAGCTGAAAACAAACAAAAAACAAGACAAACAAAAAAAATGTGATGACCTAAAATTAAGTAAAGAAATGTCAACAGTGAACTGCACTGACCCAACTCGTTTACAATTCAATTATGTTTTCCCATTGTATTTAGCCTCTGTCCTTTTCTAACTCCCAAGCTTAAAAGAGGATGAAGTTGAAATGAAAAGCCAAGCTATACCCAAGGCATGCCTGCAAAACACCAAGGTCACTTCCAGATACATGAGAACACACTTCAAAATTAAGTGACTCATTAGTCACTCAAACAAAAATCTAATTTGGATAACTCCAAGAATAAGACAAATTTGAGGCACAGAAATCTGTAAATTCTAACAAAATTCTTATTAAATCTGTCAATTATGGGCAACTTACTAGAGGTAAGAATACTATTTTTAAAACTGCTTTAAATGTTGTAATAAAATCCAGACTATTGGCCGGCGCTGTGGCTCACTAGGTTAATCCTCCGCCTTGCGGCGCTGGTTCACCGGGTTCTAGTCCCAGTCTGGGCGCCGGATTCTGTCCCGGTTGCCCCTCTTCCAGGCCAGCTCTCTGCTGTGGCCCGGGAGTGCAGTGGAGGATGGCCCAAGTGCTTGGGCCCTGCACCCCATGGGAGACCAGGAGAAGCACCTGGCTCCTGCCTTTGGATCAGCACGGTGCGCCGCCCGCGGCGGCCATTGGAGGGTGTACCAACAGCAAAGGAAGCCCTTTCTCTCTCTCTCACTGTCCATTCTGCCTGTAAAAAAAAAAAAAAATTCCAGGCTATCTAGTTACCAAGTTCTGTGCAAAAAACACCTCACCTCACATACTTCTCAATGGTCTGCTTTTTTGTGCTACATATAACCCTAATTGTTTTGTAAATCTGGTTTATTTCTTGGAGAAGTTCTTTATTCCTTGGGATACTAAATTCAGGAATTCTTTAATTCACTGTCCAAAGGTTAGCACATCACATAAGATTACCCAGGGACAGAAAGTACAAATATCTATGTGTTCTTCATACAAATTCTTGGTCTGAGCTTAATTTTTCAGACAAAAATGCAAGATACTAAACTTGATGACAGGACAAACAAAATAAGATGACAAAGGGAAAGACTGCAGCCATGAAAATCAGTTGGTGCCCACCTATTCTACCTCAAAATATTCCAAAACTTCCAGGCAAGATTAGGCCCAAGGAAGGGCAAAATAAAAGTTCTAAATTTGAATTGAAGCTCAGATGAATGCAAGAAGCCTTTTAAAGTATGGGGTTACCCAGATATGGCTCTAAAATACCTGCTTCAAAAGGCAGTGTTTTGTATCAAGGCTCCAGAATGATCTAAAATTGCCATCACCAAAGATACTGCTCAGCTGCTCAAGGTTTCTCAAGTGAAGATACAGGAAAGGCAGAAAAGTACGCTTCCAATTCAGGCTGCAACTGAAATTCAAGGCTGACTTTGGAGTCAGAAGTTTTAAGTGACAAGACAAAAAACTGGACTAAGAAGTTAGACAAAAATGCTCGAGTAAGTAATCCACAGTATTAAGCAAAGCTCCAGCATTAGTATATTTTAAAAGCCACATTTGTGGATGGATAAACAAAAGCTACTAAGGACCTAAGGCCAGCATGCACCATCTAAAAGAGGGTTAATTCTTACCTTTTCATTCTAACATACAGCAGGATTCCAAACAGACAACAGGAACAAAACATACAAAGCAAGCATTAGGGACAAATACGGGTCTCATACTATCTTACAATAATTTAATCAAGACATGAACATCTAAGGGGAAAGGCCAAAAAAAAAAAACTGCTGGTAAGTCATATTTCATCTAAAATACAAAGCCAGCCCTATGTGTGAAGTAATTAGCATACTATAAAAATAATTAAATGTGGGCCCAAAGTCCTGGCATAGTGGGTTAAGCTGTTGCCAGTGATGCCAGCATCCCATATAGGCACTGCCTCAAGTACTGGCTGCTCCACTTCCAATCCAGCTCCCTGCTAATGCGCCTTGGAAGGCAGTGGGAGGATGGCCCAAACACTTGAGATGTCATGGCACCCACATGAGAACCCAGAAGAAGACCCTGACTCCTGGCTTCAGCCTGACTCAGTCCTGGCTGCTGAGGCCATTTGGATGGAAGATCTCTCTCTGCGTCTCTCCCTCGCTCTCTGTAACTCTGTTTCAACTAAATAAAATAAATCTGGAAAAAAATAAAATAATTAAATGCATTTAACTACTGAAAGAACAGTCTTTCCCCCAGTTCTCCTTACTACTGTCTTCTAAAAAAGGAAAACTAGAAATATCCACTTTAAAATACTAGTAAAGGGGCCGGCGTTGTGGCATAGTGGGTTAAGCCGTTGCCAGCAATGCTGGCATCCCATATGAGCACTGGTTCAAGTCCTGGCTGCTCCACTTTCTACCCAGCTCCCTGCTAATGAGCCTGTGAAAGCAGTGGACGAATGGGCCCCTGCACCCACATAGGAGACCTGGAAGAAGCTCCTGGCTTTAGCCTGGCCCAGCTCTGGTCTCTGTGGCCATTTGGGGGATGAACCAGCAGATGGAAAATCTCTCTTTCTGTGTCTCTTTCTCTAACTTCGCCTTTCAAAAAAATAAATAAACCTTTTTAAACACACACACGCACGCACACACACTAGGTAAAAGGGAGGAGGCAAAGAGTCAGAGGTGTGGCAAAGAGGGTTGCACCTCACACCGGCAACCCATATTGGAGTCCTGGTTGCTCCACTTCAGATCCAGATCCCTGCTAATGTGCCTGGGAAGGCAGCAGAAGACGGCTCAAATGCTTGGGCTTCTGCCACCCATTTGGGAGACCTGGATGGAATTCCAGACTCCTAGCCAATCTGGCTCAACCCTGATCGGAATGAACCAGCCAATGAAGATCTCTCTCTCTCTCTCCCTCACCCTGTCACTCTGTTTTTCAAATAAATAAACAAACAATTTTTTAAAATTAAAATAAATCTTAAAAATTTTTTGAAAGGGAGATGAGGAGACTGAAGTTAGGACTTCCATCTTAGGAGTCAATGGACCAAAGTGAACAACAGGATAAAAGTAAAATAAAACAAATTTCAGTTTTTAATTTTCCTCTTTAAAAAAGAAAAAATAATGGGGCCAGCACTGTGGCACAGCGGGTTAAGCCACTGCCTGTGATGCTGGCATCCCATGTGGGCACCAGTTCAAGTCCCAGCTGCTCTGCATCTGATCCAGCTCTCTGCTATGGCTTGGGAAAGCAGAAGATGGCCCAAGTCCTTGGGCCCCTTCACCCGCTTGGGAGACCCAGAGAAAGTTCCTGGCTCCTGGTTTTGGATCGGCTTAGCTCCGGCCATTGTGGCCATTTGGGGAATGAACCAGCAGATGGAAGACCTCTCTCTCTCTCTCTCTCTCTCTCCCCCTCCCTCCTTCTCTGTGACTCTGCCTTTCAAATAAATAAATCTTAAGAAAAAATGGGGCTGGCTCTGTGGCACAGTGGGTTAAGCTGCCGCCTGTGGCATCAGCATCCCTTATGATCACCTGTTCGAGTCCACTTCTGATCCAGCCCTGTTATAATACACCTGGGAAAAGCAGCAGAATACGGTCTAAGTGCTTGGGACCCTGCACCTATGTGGGAGACCCAAAAGCTCTTGGCTTTGGACTGGCCCAGGTCCGGCCGTTGATGCGATTTGGGGAGCAAACTAGTGGATGGAAGACCGATCTACACACACACACACATGCATGCACACACACACACACACCCCCGCCGCCAACCTTCCTGCTGCCATTTGGGGAGTGAACCAGTGGATAGAGGACCTGTCTCTCTTTCTCTCTCTTTGGGGAGTGAACCAGTGGATGGAGGACCTCTCTCTCTCTCTCTGTTACTCCGCCTTTCAAATAAATTATCTTTAAAAAAAAAAGAAAGTTACCTGCTTTAAAAAAAAGGGGGGGGTCTTATTTGTAATTTGACCTCAGGCTACATTTCCTGACTCAAATGTGAAAAACAGCAGATAAAACAGGTTGAGAAATGGGTGAGTCTGCCAACAATGAGAGAAGATTTCTATTACAAAAGAGAAAACACTATACTAGTATCAGTTCTTATATGCCTAAATCTGGCTTCCAGCCCTACCACACAGCAGACAGAGCTAGTTAAATTCTTTATTCAGCTCTTAAGCTTGCTTTCAAAAGAAAATTATGAGAAAATCGTGTACTTTTCAGGAAAATCATTCTTCAGTGAAGAAAGACTTGGGCATACTGAATGAATGGGACCTACCTTTCTGAAATGTGCAAGCATGTCTGGGCTGCGCTCACACATTTCTGTAAGGAGGACTACAGATGTGTGAAGGACACCTGAAAGAGAAGATCACAGGGAAACTAAAAATGAGGCTGTATTATTCGTTCCTACAATAGGGCTCTGAGTTACTGAAGGTCAACTCAAAAAGCACCGCTGCTACTTTTGCTTTTTAATTCCCCAAAGAACCTAAGCACTCAGAAGAATAACAAAGGAGGTACTTAATGGATGCCTAATGACTTAATACTAGTAGGTCAACTCAGTCAAATCAGATATTTTTAACAAATACGTGACCAAAATAATGATTTAAAAAATGAAAATTGAATGTAGTATATATTAAAAAAATAGCTATAAGAAAATATTTTGAACATTTTCATCATAAGGAAATGATAAATATTTGAGGATAAGCACATTGTTGATCCTTGATTTGAACATTACACAACATATACATGTATGAAAATACCACATGGTACCCCATAAATATGTACAATTTTTATGTTAAGAATAAAAAATTTTTTAAAAAGTTTTTAGATGACAAATACATGTGTCTCTTCATCTAAGAATATCCATAATGACATGCTCACAGTCAATGCCACATATTATCTGCTCCATATTTAGTAAGTTATTAGTTGAGTTCTGAGATAATTCAAGAGGCAAAAATCATAAGATTTTTAATTTCCAGATAAAATGCATCAAAATTCCAAGATAATTGTGGATAACAAAGAGAATCTGCTTGTTCCAGAGTCAATAAAAAGAATGTCACAGTACTTTTCACTAACAAATAAATAAATGCTATAAACATTCATTTGTTCAACCAGTATATTTTAAGCATTCTGAGCACAGCACTGAATTAATAATAAAACACATCACATCATCTTTCTCTTAGCCTTTAAGAAACATAACTTTTCTTTACTCTGAACTTGCTTCACTGACTTCAAAGTAAGAATAAAATGTTTGGGGAAACAGCCACGTTCCATTTAATTCTCCTTGAGTTTATCAAAGATATTTGAACAGCCATTTCAAACTCCGGTTAGGAGTAATCCGAAAGAATTCTCACAGATCTTATACTCCCACCAAATGACAATGGAAAAAAAATGTTTTATTGTAAATAGCCAAGAAATCAAAGAGTTTTACAAATAAAAACCAAGGGTAGGATCATCTGTACATTACACTGAATATTAGGAACTTAATCTAGTTATTTTAATATCATTGAAGAGGACCAGAGATGGAAGACAAGTTAGTAAGAGGGAATCAATCTCTAAATATAAAACTACAATATCTGAGTAGAAGATTCAGCAGACCAGAGCTTCGTGAAAAAGTGTCCAAGCATAGTAGAGGACTCCACTGAGCTGAGACACAGGGCTAAAATAGTCTTAAGCCTTTTCTCTTTCCCTTTCTCCCTCAGCACTTTAAGTGCATCCAAATCACATTACCATGGTTCTTCTCATTCAATAAATTTTTTGTTGCTGGTAAAAACATCTCCATAAGCTCAGGAACCTTCCTGATGACATGAACAGCACATAATGCTGCCTATAAAAAGAATAAATAAATAAAAAAGACAAGAGATTTATTTCATTTAAATCAAGGCAACAGATCTTTAAAACCACCACCACCAAAAAACCTACTAGTTCCATCTATTAGAAAAATGAAGAAAGAACTTAGATATAAGGTGTATCACTTATTAACTGGTTGGGACTTTCCAGTTTAAACTATTACATGAAAAAATTCCAATTCACCTGTCCCCCTGATGATATACTGCCAGACAAGCAGACAAAAACTTTCTAGACTGAATCATAGTTATTAATATAATTTATCAAAGAAATTAAGCATAGAGTTTGGGGGAAGTAAAAAATAGCTAAGAATCTCCACCTGTAATAATCATTCCTCTAAGTTAGATGATAAACAAGTTCAAAAACTTGCACCTTAAAGACATGTGCTGCAGACATTACAGATCTGCTGTTATGTTTAATAGCATCTATACTGCCTCCAACTGACATTCTGCTGATACCAAGAAAAAAATTTGAGTAGGCTAAGCCTCTGCCTAAGGTGCTTACACGCACTGGTTCCTGTCCCGGCTGCTCATCTTCTGATCCAGCTCTTTGCCTATGGTCTGAGAAAGCAGTGGAAGATGGCCCAAGTGCTTGGGGCCCCTGTACCCACGTGGGAGAGCCATAAGCTCCTGGCTCCTGGCTTCAGATTGGCCCAGCTCCAGCAGTTGAGGCCATTTGGGGAGTGAACCAGCGGATGGAAGACCCTTCTCTGTCTCTCCCTCTCTCTCTCTTTGTAACTCTACCCTTCAAAGAAATAAATAAAAATCTTTAAAAGAAAAAGAAAAAAAGAGAAAAAAATCTGAAATAACTAGTCTCTGGGGGGAAAAAAATCCCATGGCATTATTAGCCCATTTACTGGAAATACTGATTTTGCCCTGCCAACATAACCATAACTGTTAACTGTTTGAGTCAAATATCATAAGGACTTAGACAGATTGACATAAAAAATTTCTGCTAATTCATCTTATGTTTTATCTGGGAGTCAAAAGATTTTTTTCCTCATCTGATAGAATGCTGTATTTAATATAATATTAGCCCTTCTAAATGAGAGTAAATCATACATTAAGAAAAAGTACTGACTTACAAATTAAGAAATTAATTTAACTTGTTTGCAGTCATTATTAACAGCATTATCATCCTTAGAAATTTCTTCACTTTCTTCTCACACCATTAAAAACACAGAGTAAACATGAAATTAATGATTACATTTTCATTTCTGAGACTTCTAAACCCCTTGCTTGTAAAGGTTTTAGGTTGAATTACAATTTTAAGAAACTCAATATAACGGTTGTATCAACAAATACCAGCAGGTAAGAGAATAAGGTTATTCTCTTCTATTACAAATGCAGTGGTATCTCAAGTTCATAAAGTAGGTTCTACAAGCTTTCCTAATAATCATCTACATATTAGTCTAACTACTCTTCCAGATATACAAAGGTACTAAAACAAATACATAGACACTAGTTATAAGGATAAAAGTAAATTCATAAAGAGCTATTCATTATTACTGTTTAATACTGTTTTAAATCAGAGAAGTCAGGAATTAGTTATACCACCTTGCATATCCAGTAACATTTGTTTATAAGTCACTTCCTTGAAAAAAGGAAGAAATTAAGATTAACATGAAATATCATATTCATAATTAAAATAAATCTCACAGAGAAAAATATACCATAACTTTCAAAACTGAGTAATCTGCCTAATCCAAACTCCCTGATCCAAAACAGACACTTAGTTTCATTAAGTCATCTTTTGAGGGTAAGGCATTTCGTCTAACAGTAAAGATGCCGTTTGAGATGCCTGCACACTAGATAGGAGTTGTGAGATTCCAGTTCCAGCCACTCTCCATTTTTGTTTTGATCCCAATTACAGCTTCCTACTAATGTACATCCCAGCAGGCAACAGTGATATAAGTTGGGTCCCTGCCACCCACACAGATGACCTGGACTGAGTTCCTGGTTCCTGGCTTCAGCCTGGCATAGCCTCTCGCATTTGGGGACCGTACCAATAGATGGGAGCACTCCCTGTCTTTTGTCTCTCAAAGAAAAAATAAGTAAATCATTTTCAATTTACCTTTTTTCTTAAGTAAGAGTTGGAGGTTTTCAGAAGCTTCTCAACCTCTCCTGCAAGATCTCTGCACATCTCTGACGAGCCCATGCAGCCAAGGGTACAAAGTGCTAGCCCCTGCACAAACTGCGTGCTGTGATTAAGATCACTGCAAAAGAAGAAGGAAGGTGGAAACAAGCATGCTCTGCTAAGCAGGTGCTCACCATGAAGAAGCTTCACAGTTTAATAAACTAGCTGAAAAGGGCTGAAGATTTCTCCAATAATTAAAATAATCAACAGGTTTATTAGTTGAAGAAAATCTTTACTCAAATTTTATTAGAAATTATCAATACAGTAAAGATGGAGAGTTCCACCTACAGCCTTTTAGCCCAATGTTTCCAAACACCAAAGCAGTAAAATAGGACAATATGTTACCTGTTGGACACTAAAGGAACCCACTTTAGAAAACTCAGTCAACCACTGAAAGCAAACACTGGCAATGATTACAACATACAGCAAAACTATCTTTAAAAGATTTGTAAAATGTTTTACTATTACTCACAAACTAAGGCTAAAAGTAGACATGAACCAAAATCCTTTTTTAAAAATTAGAAAACACAACCTCTACCACTAGAGCACTACAGATGACAGAGAAACCACAACAGAAATTACATTACCCTTTGACACTTTTGGTCTCATGTTTTAGTATAAACCTCGATACTACATTAAATAACTTTATACTTTTACTTTTTTTCCAAAATAACTAAAAATCAGTAACTACTGATTACTATAATAATAAAACCACCTTTAAAAAAAGATTTATTCATTTACTTGAAAGGCAGAGCAAGAGAGAGAAAAGAAGGGAGGGAAGGAGCTTCCATCTGCTGGTACAAAAGCCAAGTGTGCACAAAGCCAAAGCCAGAAGCCCTACTGATCTCCCACGTGGGTGGCAGTGAAAAAAGTACCTGGTAGAACTATCTTACTGGGACTCAAACCAGCACTCCAGTACTGGATGCCAATGTCATAAGCAACAAGCTTAAGCCACTGTGCCATTATGTTAGCCCCTAAGACCACTTTCAACGAACTATCGTAGACATTTGCAGACTACAATGTCTGGTGGCACATAATATACAAAATCTTCTAACAGGCATTGATTACTGTATGAAATTACTTCTAAGCCAGCCAGGAAGCAAACTTCCAGGAAAGTTTTGAATTAGACATAGTTTGAACCAGTAACCTTATCTATATATTACAATCAGCTCTTCCTATTCAGAGCTGTGTTATTACAGTATGCTACTTTTAGTAGCTTTTCAAGCATTTATTATTATCTTTTAGTCTAGCAGTTTTCAACGTGTGCTTCATGAGTCTCAGGGAAGTTCCCAAGGCTGCATCAGAGTCCATGTGATTCACACTGTTTTCATAATCTTAATACAGTATTTGTCAACTGTGTTGACAGTCACACCAATGGTACAAAGCCTTAGCACAAATTAAGGCAGGGGTGCCACAATGAATTCAATGCCATATACTCACATTTAAAGAAGGAAAGAAAAAAGGCAGTTTCACTTAAGATTGCCCACAATAAAACAGTAAAAATTGTTAGTTTTACTACACCCAACTCTTTTTTATTAAGGTTTATTTATTTGAAAGGTAGATTTACAGAGAGAGAGAGAGAGAGAGAGACAGACAGACAGACAGACAGACACCTTCCATCCACTGATTCACTTCCAAAATGGCCCCAATGGCAAGGGCTTATCCTAGCTGAAGCCAGGAGCCTGGGACTCTGTCCAGGTCTCCCACAGGGGCCCAAGGACTGAGCCATTTTGGCTGCTTTCCCAGGGGCATTAGCAGGAAGCTAGATCAGAAGAGGAACAGCCAGAACACAAACCAGTGCCTATAGAGGATGCCAGTATTGCAGAAGGAGGCTTAACCAGCTACACCATAAAATCAACCTCCATACGTCAACTCTTGAGTCCATGTTTTTTCATATTCTTTGTGACAGGCTGGCATTGTGGTGCAGTGGACTAAGCCACTGTCTGTAACACTGGCATCCCATAGCAGAATGCTGGTTCAAGTCCTGGCTACTCTATTTCCAATCCAGTGTCCTGCTAATGTGCCTGAGAAAGCAGCAGATGACAACTCAAATGCTTGGGGTCCTGCCAGTTATGTGGGAGACCAGTATAGATTCCTGGTTCCAGCCTGGCCCAACCTAGCTGCTGCAGTGAACCAGCAGGACAGACGATATCTCCCTCTCCTCCCTCTCTCTCCTTCTCCCCCTCCTCCCTCCTCCCTCTCTCTCTCTCTCATTCTGCTTTCAAATAAAGAAATCTTTAAATTCTGTGTGATTTCTTAAAAAAAAAAAAAATAAAATAAATTCTGTGTGATGAAGAGGATTATGCAGAAATTACTTCTACCTCACAGTGAAATAAAAAGGCAATCTCAAGAGAAAAACATTTATCTGTACCTTTCATTTGCAAGCTGAACGATGAACTAGCTGCTTTTAAAACGAACATCACTTTTATTTGGAAAAATAACTAACAATTATGATTATTATGATTTGGATATTTAAGAGACATTTTCTGGACCAAGAGCCAAGTTAAGACGATCATTTCAAGATCAACAACTAACATTATTTGTTGCCAACAATCAAATTCAAGTTTTGAAGTAAAAGTAGAATTTGGAACAAACCTCCATTGCTACCATGAGCTAAACAATTTAACAAAATTTAAAGACTGTTCTATGAGGTTAGTGGCGGTATCGGTCAATGTGATTTTTTTAATGTTCTATAATGAAATGTATTATCATTTGCAAGATGTGTGTAACTCAAAAAACCATTTTTTCCAAATGACCTAGGCAAAATGTCATAAAATCTTGTACGTGAGTACAAGATTCACTCAAAGTGCAATGACAGTCCAATGGATTTTAAAATAACAGTACAAAAACTATACTGACATGGTTTCAAATTCCACACCACACCTAACCTTTAAAAAAAAACCTCTCGAGGCCAACACTATGATGCAGCGAGTTAATGTCCTGGCCTGAAGCGCCGGCACCATATGGGCACCGGTTCTAGTCCCGGCTGCTCCTCTTCCAATCCAGCTCTCTGCTATGGCCTGGGAAAGCAGTAGAAGATGGCTCAACTCCTTGGGCCCCTGCACCCAAGTGGGAGACCCGGAAGAAGCTCCTGGCTCCGGATCAGTGCATCTCTGGCCGTTGCAGGCAACTGGAGAGTGAACCAGTGGATGGAAGAACTCTCTCCCTCTCTCTCTCTCTCTAACTCTTTCAGTTAAATAAATAAATCTTAAAAAAAAAAAAAACAAACAAACAAACAAAAAAAAAAACTCTTATCAAGCTTTAGTATAGAACCATAGTTTTTTGAAAGGCGGTCAAAATATTTTTCCCTTTGCTAACTGCATTATCTGTGAGATGCTTGATTTTCTTTTACTTCAATCAAAATAACCTAACACAAGAAACTAAAGACACACTGGGTATCCGGCACACTAGTTATGATACTGCTTCCAAGGCAAGCATTTGCCGTTTAGTAGGGCCAGCACTGTGGTGTAGCATATGAAGCCGCCCCCTACAGCGCCAGCATCCCATATGGGCGCCGGTTCAAGATCCAGCTGCTCCACTTCTGATCCAGCTCCCTGCTAATGTACCTGGGAAAACAGTGGAAGATGGCCCAAGTCCTTGTGTCCCTGCACTCAAGTGGGAAACCCAGAAGAAGCTCCCGGCGTCAGAGTGGCCCAGCTCCAACTGCTGCAGTCATTTGGGGAGTAAACCAGCGGATGAAGATCCCTCTCTCTGCCTCTGACTCTACCTCTCTCCCAGCTGCTCCTCTTCCAGTTCAGCTCTCTGCTGTGGCTCAGGAGTGCAGTGGAGGATGACGCAAGTGCTTGGGCTCTGCACCTGCATGGGAAACCAGGAGGAATCACCTGGCTCCTGGTTTTGGATCAGCGCAGTGCGCCGGCTGTAGCGGCCATTGGGGGGTGAACCAACGGCAAAGGAAGACCTTTCTCTCTGTCTGTCTCTCACTGTCTAACTGCCTGTCAAAAAAAAAAAAAAAAAAAGTCTTTCATATGGGGCTGGTGTTAAGGTATAGGGAGCAAAGCCGCTGTCTGCAAGACCAGCATCCCATATACGCGCTGGTTTGTACCGGATGCACCACTTCTGAGAAAAGCAGTGGAAGATGGCCCAAATGCTTGTACCCCCTGTCACCCATGTGGGAGACCCGGATGAAGCACCCGGTTTTGGTGTGGCCCACCCTAGTTGATATAGCCACCTGGAGATGAAGCAGTGGATGGAAGATCTGACTCTCCCTCTAACTCTTTTTTTTTTGGAGAGGCAGAGTTAGACAGTGAGAGAGAGAGACACAGAGAGAACCGTCTTCCTTTCTGTTGGTTCACCCCCAAAATGGCTGCTACAGCCGGCGCACTGCGCCAATCTGAAGCCAGGAGCCAGGTGCTTCCTCCTGGTCTCCCATGCGGGTGCAGGCGCCCAAGCACTTGGGTCATCCTCCACTGCCTTCCCGGGCCACAGCAGAGAGCTGGACTGGAAGAGGAGCAACCAGGACAGAATCCAGCACCCCAACCGGAACTAGAACCTGGTGCCGGCGCCACAGGCAGAAGATTAGCCTAGTGACCCGAGGCGCTGGCCTCTCCCTCTAACTCTTTCAAATAAATAAATAATAAATATTTATTTATTTTTAAAGAGTTATTTATTTTTAAAGATTTATTTATTGCCGGCGCCGCGGCTCACTAGGCTAATCCTCCGCCTAGCGGCGCCAGCACACCAGGTTCTAGTCCCGGTTGGGGCGCCGGATTCTGTCCCGGTTGCCCCTCTTCCAGGCCAGCTCTCTGCTGTGGCCAGGGAGTGCAGTAGAGGATGGCCCATGTGCTTGGACCCCGGCGGTCATGGGAGACCAGGAAAAGCACCTGGCTCCTGGCTCCTGCCATCGGATCAACGCGGTGCGCCGGCCGCGGCGGCCATTGGAGGGTGAACCAACGGCAAAGGAAGACCTTTCTCTCTGTCTCTCTCTCTCTCACTGTCCACTCTGCCTGTCGATAGAAGAATATAAGAAGAAGTCAGATTTATTTATTTATTTGAAAGAATTACACAGAGAGAGGGAGAGAGAGAGAGAGGTCTTCCATCCGCTGGTTCACTCTCCAGTTGGCCGCAACGGCCAGAGATGCGCCAATCCAAAGCCAGGAGCCGTGAGCTTCTTCCAGGTCTCCCACTTGGGTGCAGGGGCCCAAGGACTTGGCTGTCTTGTACTGCTTTCCTAGGCCATAGCAGAGAGCTGGATCGGAAGAGGAGCAGCGGGACTAGAACTGGCGCCCATATGGGATGCTCTAAGGTCCTGGGTTTCAGCACTAACATAAGGTCACCACAAAACACATCAAACACCAGAGTAAGGGAAAGAGATTTTTGGAGAAAACCCAGCAGACTGGAGGGAAGGGACGAGAAAGGAGAAAAAGGGAGAAGGAGAGCCTAAGAGAGATCAAGAGAGAGATCAGGAGACGAAGAGAAGGAGAGAGAGCGAGAGAGAGAGAAGAGGAGGCTAGAGAGTGCAGAGAGTGAGAGAGCAAGCAAGAGAAGAGAGAGGAGAGAGGAGCAGAGACAAGAGAGAAGAGAGAGAGGGGAGCAAGAGAGACAGCGAGCAGGAGTGAATAATAAATATTTAAAAACAAAAAAAATAGTCTTTCATAAAGAAGGTTCTCAATGTTAACACATCATAGCTTCATTATTAATATTTACAAATGAACAAATAGACAGTGTTAGTCTTTGCTGAAGAATGAAAACAGGAAAAGAAGGTAAAATTTAAGGCCCAGCATCATGGAGCAGCAGGTTAATACTATGCTTGGGATGCTCACATCCCATGCTGAAGGGACTTGGTTCAATTCCAGGCTCTTCTGCTTCCAAACCAGCTTCCTCCTAAAGTATTCTGGGAGACAGCAGACAGATGGCCCAAGTACTTGACTTCCTGCCACCCACATGGGAGACTCAGATGGAGTTCCTGGCTCTTGGCTTCTGCCTGGCCCAGTCTGAGATGTTGCAGCCTTTTTGGGGAGTGAACCAGCAGATGGAAGACATCTATCACTCTGCCTTTCCAGTAAGTAAGTAAGTAAATAAATAATTTTTTGAGAAAGAAGCAAAATGTCAATGAACAGTTTCAAGGTAAAACTATTTTAAATTAGAATTGCTCATAAAATAAAATGTATCAACTATCACTTTATCATTTAGGATCCCAGTTCCCAAAAGTACTTAGTTGACTTTTCATTAATTTCTCAATTATTAGATATTTTCAAAATCCGAGTTTTAAACATCAGATCCATTTTTTTTAAATTTAACTCCAAGGCCTGTGATATTCTACAATGTTTTCTAAGCCAATGAACAATGAGGTAAGCACTCATTACTAAGCTGGGGCTGGGGGCCAGGGCTGTGGCATAGTGGGTAAAGCCGCCTCCTGCAGTGACGATATCCAATATATGGGCAGTTTGAGTCCCAGCTTCTCCACTTCCAATCCAGCTCTCTGCTATTGCCTGGGAAAGAAGTAGAGATGGCTCATGTGCTTGGGCCCCTGCACTGGTGTCGGAGACCTGGAAGAAACTCATGGCTCCTGGCTTCGGATTGGTACAGCTCCGGCCATTGTGGCCACTGGGGAATAAACCAGCAGATGGAAGATCTTGTACTCTCTGTCTCTTGCTCTGTCACTCTGCCTTTCCAACAAAACAAATCTTAAAAAAGAAAAAAACAGGGGCCCGCGCTGTGGTGTAATGGGTAAAGTTGTCGCCTGCAGTGCCAGCATCCCTATGGGTGCCAGTTCCAGTCCCAGCTGCTGCAGTTCCGATCCAGCTCTCTGCTATGGCCTGGGAAAGCAGTACAAGACAGCCCAAGTCTTTGGGCCCCTGCACCCATGTGGGAGACCTGGAAGAAGCTCACGGCTCCTGGCTTTGGATCAGCGCAGCTCTGGCCGTTGCGGCCACCTGGGGAGTGAACCAGCAGGTGGAAGACCTCTCTTTCTCTGCTTCTCTATAACTCTGCCTTTCAATTAAATCTTAAAGAAAAAAAAAGGGGGGGGTGGCTAGTGCTGTGGTATAATAGGTTAAGCCTCCGCATGTGGCATGGGCATCCTATTTCGGTGCTGGTTCATGTCCCAGCTGCTCTTTTTATGATCCAACTCTCCGCTAATGACCTGGGAAAGCAGTGAAAAATGGCCCAAGTGCTTGGGCCCCTGCACTCACATGAGAGACCTGTAAGAAGCTCCTGGTTCCTGGCTTTGGATCGGCACAGCTCTGGCTGTTACAACCATTTGGGGAGTGAACCAGTGGATGGTGGACTTCTTTCTGTGTCTCTCCCTCTCTCTTTCTATAACCCTGCCTCTAAACATAAATAAGCAAATCTTGGGGAAAAAAAAGGGGGGGGGCTTGTGCTGTGGTGCAGCAGGTTAAAGCCCTGGCCTGAAGCACCAGCATCCCATATGGGTGCCGGTTCTAACCCTGGCTGCTCCTCTTCTCATCCAGCTCTCTGCTATGGCCTGGGGAAACAACAGAAGATGGCCCGAATCCTTGGGCCCCTGCACCTGCTGGGGAGATCCAGAGGAAGCTCCTGGCTCCTGGCTTTGGATCGGTGCAGCTCCAGCCACTGTGGCCATCTGGGGAGTGAACCAGCGAATGGAAGACCTCTTTGTCGCTACCTCTCTCTGTAACTCTGTTTTTCAAATAAATAAAATAAATCTTTAAAAGAAAAAAGCATAAAAATTTTATTTGTGGCCTATAACACAAACAAAAAACCCGCCCTCCCTCTTAAAAAAAAAAAAAAAAAAAACACAGAAATCCATTAACAGAATAAAAACAATAGATCCAAAGTTGATCTATTCCTGCTTTAGAAAGAAGCTTCTCCTAAATTCACTTGGTGCTGGGCTAGGCTTCATAATAACAAAGATTTCTTCTTTAAATGTGTGCCTCATTTTTTCATTTTTATCAGGCTACAAACCTCTACTTAAGTTTGGTATTAACTCTCTAACACAAACTTGCTGCCAGGCAGAACTGCCCAATTGTCAGCATAAGACTGAAAGCCTGAGTAAAGGCTACAAAGTCTGTAAGAACAAAAGTTAAAAGAAACTCTGAAGCTTAGCCAGAGGAAATGTATAAAAGAATTCCACTGAACATCTAGAATGGACCTTTCATGACATCAAGGATTTCTCTCTTTTTGCTTCCATACTAGTGCTGGGGCCAGCACTGTGGTGTAGTGGGTAAAGCCACCTGTGATGAAAGCATCCCATAGGGACACCAGTTCAAGTTGCAGCTGCTCTACTTCTGATCAGGCTCCCTGCTACGTGCCTTGGAAAGCAGTGGAAGATGGTCCAAGTCCTTGTACCCCTGCACCCACGTGGGAGACGGTTAAGGCTCCCAGCTTTGACCTGGTCCAGCCCTGGCCACTGTGGCCATTTGGGGAGTAAACCAGCACATGGAAGCGCTCTCTCTCTCTTTCTTTCTACTGTTCGAATTAATAAAAATAAATCTTTTTTGTTTTAAAAACAAAAAAGCCATCCTAGTGCTTTGCAATGGTTCCTGGTACTTGGCAGATGAGCAACAAATATTTGTTGAATAAATGAATCAACACAGTGTTTTCACTATTAATATTTATTTTATAGTCAAGAAAATAAAAAGCCTCCTGAAATTAATCCACAGAGTCCCATATTTAAATGCCACACTTTATAATTACAATCAAATTATAAGTCATTTTGGAGTTTTCCATTACCCACTGGAAAAATTTAAAGTAGAGCATTAGTTACCACAGAAAAGTACAAGTTTTCAAAGTCCACATATTTGATCACCAATATTCCCTGCTGCTTCTTTTTATCAAAAACAGAAATACTGCAAATAAAAAAAGTAATCTAAAAAAGCAGGAGGGCAGATATGGTGGGAAGAATCACTGTATTCCCAAGATGTACTCATGAATTTTATATGCATTAAATAAAATTCTGGAAAAAAAAGGCGATTGAAAGCACATAAAAAAATAAATAAAGGGCTACCCACAAAAACTCACAGGACTGGGGGCCAGCGCTGTGACGTAGTGGGTTAAGCCTCTGCCTGTGGTGCCCCATATGCCCCAGCTGCTCCTCTTCCAATCTCACTCTCTGCTTATGGCCTGAGAAAGTGGCAGAAGATGGTCCGAGTACTCGGGCCCCTGCACTTGCATGGCAGGTATCTCCTGGCTCCTGGCTTTGGATGCACCCAGCTCTGGCCATTACCGCCATTTGGGGAGTGAACCAGTGGATGGAAGAGCTCTCTGTCTCTCCCTCTCTGTCTGTAACTCTACCTCTCAAATAAATAGAATCTTTAAAAAAAATTTTTTAATTCACATGACCAAGTAAAATTCAGTGCAAATGAAATCTCAGATGGATTAAACTTCCAACAATCAAGACCACTCTTTTTAGCTTAAATATACCAGAATATAAAACAATACTTCTTAGAGATAAATGGAAAGTTTCATTATTTATAGTATTCAATATCCCAGAAATATAAGAAATCCCAAGGTTTACCAATATTTTTCTATGAAGGCCCAAGTGTTGGTAATTCGTGTTCTTATGCCTGAAGATGCACAACAATACCTACCTACACTTAACAAAATTAACCCTTAGAAAAGTTGTAATCCTTTAAAGTTACCAAATTACAGCATTTCAAATATAGTGTGAACACTAAACATAAAATTAATAAACAGAAGCTCTTTATTAAAATCCTAGTTTAAGACTTCAAAGAGTAAAATTGTTGTTAAAAGAAGGAAAGGTACGACTTACTTCTTGATACAGTTGGTCATGAGAAGATGGACATCTTGTCTTTCATCCAACAGCAGCATTGCCCCTAAATAGCCAATGCGTTTGTCTGTAAATTTCTGAGATGCAATGAGCTTGAGGCACTCCAACTGCCAAGAAAAAGGAAAACAAAGAAACTAAGAACTTGTTACCACAATCTACAAAGCAATGTTTTTAATCCCAGAGTTAACAGATGACTGAAGTATAAACCTCTATCATCAAACTACCTAAATAAAAGAGAAACATTCAAGATACTTTGATAATAGTACTCAAGTTCTAGAGTAACAAGCTTCCATGACACTTGCCATTCTAATAATCCATGAGTTTCACCTTAGTTCCACATTTCTAAAAACACAAACTTATTAATCACTACAATAAATTAGACATTAAAAAAACCAAATTCCTAATGTAATCTCCCCCTTACATTAAATGAGCACCTAACACATGTATGCATTTAAGGTCTGGTTCATATATTAAAAATCAAAAACTCAGTAAATGGAAACACAAAGTGTTTAGTGTCCTAAACATCTGGTACATGCAATCAATTAAAGAAGAAACGGACAATAATTTTAACACCATGTAGAAAGTGCTACATTTAGGGTTTGTAAGTACTGTGGGAAAAGTGAAGGTTTTTTCTTTTTAAAGATTTATTTATTTATTTGAAAGTCAGAGTTAACACAGAGAGAGAAGGAGAGGCAGAGAGAGAGGTCTTCCATCCGCTGGTTCACTCTCCAATTGGTCGCAACAGCCAAAGCTGTACTGATCCAAAGCCAGAAGCATCTTTCAGGTCTCGTATGTGGGTAAAGGGGCCCGAGAACTTGAGCCTTCTTCCACTGCCTTCCCACGCCACAGCAGAAAGCTGGATCAGAAGTGGAGCAGTCGGCACATGAACTGATGCCCATATGCGATGCCAGCACTGCAGGAGGCGGCTTTACCCGCTATGCTGCAGTGCCAACTCCGAGGTGAGGGTTTAGGAATCAAATACAGGGGGGAACCTAAAGTGTTTTATATTAATTATTCTTTACATAATTTTTAGGAAAAAAAAAAACTCCTCAAGGCTTCAGAGTCCTTGCAGTTAAACAGTTTGTCCCCCTGTTTAGCCTTTCTTGAAAGTCACAATCACTTTGATGTGTTTTATCATTCTCACTTTACAAATACAGAAAGGGTCAAATATTTCCTGTGGGGGAGGGGTTTTCCAAGGGCATACTGCAAGTCAGACTGTCTAAGAAGGGTTTGCAAAACTAAATTCCCTTTTAGAAGTATACATCCCAAGGAAAACAGCACCAGTAGAAACTAAGATCATGTGAGACTATTTTCTTACATGAATTTATCTAATAAGTTCAAAAGTAAAAGAGGAAAGTAAAACAGTTCCACAAACAGATTTATTTCAAGTTACATAAAAATTACTTTCTAGGGGCCAGTGCTGTGGTTCAGTACGTTAAGCATTTGCCTGTGGTGCCAGCATCTCATATGGGTGCTGGTTCGAGTCTCAACTGTTCCATATCCAATCCAGCTCCCTGTTGATGGCCTGGGAAAGCAGTGGAAGAGGGCCCAAGTGCATAGTCCCCAGCACCCACATGGGAGACCCAGAAGAAGCTCCTGGATCCTCACTTTGGATCTGCCCCGCTCCAGCCGGGAGTGAAGCAGCAGATGGAAGACCTTCCTGTCTCTCCCTCTGCATCTCTGCCTCTCAAGTAAATAAATGTATATTTTTAAAAAAGATTAATTCCTCAATTTATGTACATTTAGAAACACCTAAAGTCATCTGAATGACTATATAACTGTGAGCCATGTCAGTTTCCAAGACAGAATAATTAGGATCAAAAAGGAAAACTCAAATGGCTTGTGAGATTAGAACTGATTATGTGATAACAACCTTTCCCTCCCTTCTACACATGTAATTTTTATTTTTTATTTATTTATTTTTTGACAGGCAGAGTTGACAGTGAAAGAGAGAGAGAGAAAGGTCTTCCTTCTTCCGTTGGTTCACCCCCCAATGGCAGCAGCGGCTGGCGCACCGTGCTGATCCGAAGCCAGGAGCCAGGTGCTTCTCCTGGTCTCCCATGCGGGTGCAGGGCCCAAGCACTTGGGCCATCCTCCACTGCACTCCCGGGCCACAGCAGAGAGCTGAACTGGAAGAGGAGAAACCGGGACAGAATCTGGAGCTCCGACCAGGACTAGAACCCGGTGTGCCAGCGCTGCAGGCGGAGGATTAGCCTATTGAGCCACGGCGCCAGCCAGTAATTTATATTTAAAAAATAATTTCCATGGGGGACATCATGTTGAATGAAATAAGCCAGACACAGAAAGACAAATATTGCATCTTCTCTACTGCATGTGGGAGCAAAAAATTTGAACAAACCAAACAAACAAACAAAAAAAGAAATGCCCATGTGTATCAGTACTGCTGTAAATGTATTTTTGTGAAATTTTTATACCTTTGTCGAACGAACGATTAAGAATGTTACACTACTATAGTTTTAAATATCTGTGATTACTTTAAATACTGTAAATTAGTTAATAGAATTTACTGTATATGAGCAAAATGGTCATTTTTCCAACTACTGTTTATAGCCATTGTCTATAGTCCCATTAAACTAGAATCTTTCTGCTTCTTACTTGTTAAACTTTTTATGTGGTGAGCTTATTTGACTTTTTATTGCAATTAAACTTAAAATGTTCTCAAAAACTAAAAAAAAATAAATAAAAAAACAAAAAAGGGAGAAGGTGAGATGGTGGGGGAGAGAGAGGAGAAGGGAAGCAGGGAGGGAGGAAATATCATTATGTCCTTAGAATTGCTATCTACAAACCATATTTAATCTGTTAAAAACAAACTAAGGGGCCCAGCACTATGGTGTAAAGGGCAAAGCTGCCGCCTGCAGTGCCAGCACGCCATATGGGCGCGTTTGAGTCCTGGCTTCTCCACTTCCAATCCAGCTCTCCGCTGTGGCCTGGGAAATCAGTGGAGGATGGCTCAGGTCCTTGGGCCCCTCCATCCACGTGGGAGACCCAGAGGAATCTCCTGGGCACTGGCTTCGGATCAGCAAAGCTCTAGCCATTGCAACCATCTGGGGAGTGAACCACGGGATGGAAGACCTCTCTTTATCATTCTCTGCATCTGCCTCTCTATAACTCTGCCTTTCAAGTAAATAAATAAATCTTTAAAAATTAAAATAATAAAAAATAAAAACGTTTAAAAGGTAAAAAATAATTCCATAAAGTAAGTTTTAAGGGGCCGGTGCTGTGGCGCAACGGGTAAAGCTACTGCCTATAGTACCAGCATCCCATATGGGCACCAGTTCGAGTCCCAGCTGCTCTACTTCTGATCCAGCTCTCTGCTGTGGCCTGGGAAAGCAGAAGACCTTGGGCCCCTGCACCCACGTGGGAGACCTGGAAGAAGCTCCTGGCTCCTGGCTTTGGATTAGCACAGCTTTGGCCACTGCAGCCAACTGGGGAGTGAACCAGCAGATGTAAAACCTCTCTCTCTCTGCCTCTTTTCTCTCTGTGTAACTCTGACTTTCAAGTAAATAAATCTTTAAAAAGAAAAAGCTATGAAAGTTATTTTAATACTTAGTGAATAAGACATACTCTTAGACATTAACATCATTTCATATTTTTATTTATTAAGATTTTTATGCATTTGACAAGCATAAACAGAAAGGCAAAATGTGTACACATACTAGCATCTGCTGATTCATTTCCCATATGTCTACAACATCTCCAGGCGTAGACTGAGAAACTGAAATACAATCCAGGTCTCACAAGTGGGTGGCAGGAAGCCAAACACTGGGCCATGACTGCTACTACATGAACTTTTTTTAATATAAATGCTTTTTCGGCCGAGCACCGTAGCTCACTTGGTTAATCCTCTGTCTGCGGCACCGGCATCCTATGTGGGCACCGGGTTCTAGTCCCGGTTGCTCCTCTTCAGTCCAGCTCCCTGCTGTGGCCTGTGAGTGCAGTGGAGGATGGCCCAACTGCTTGGGCCCCTGTACCCGCATGGGAAACCGGGAGGAGGCACCTGGCTCCTGGCTTCAGATCGGCGCAGCGCCCTGCCGTGGCAGCCATTTGGGGAGTGAACCAACAGAAGGAAGACCTTTCTCTTTGTATCTCTGTCTATAACTCTACCTGTCAAATAGAAAAACAAATGCTTTTTCAAAAATATATTTATTTACTTGAAAGAGTTACACAGAGACAAAAAGACAGAAAGAGGGAGACATGAAAAGATCTTCCATCCACTGGTTTACTCCCCAAAGTGGCCACAAAGGCCAGGGCTGGGCCAGGTCGGGCCGAAGCTGAGAGCCAGGAGCTTCTTCTTGGTCTCCCATGTGCGTGTAGGGAACCAAGCACTTGGGCCATCTTCCGCAGCTTTCCCAGGCCATTGACAGGGAGTTGGATCGGAAGAGGAACAGCCAGGACTTGAACCGGCGCCCATATGGGAAGCGCCCATATGAGATGCTGGCACCGCAGACAGAGGCCAAGTATGCAACAGCACTGGCCAATTCTTTATTTACTTTAATTTTACATTTAAAAAAGCCCTCTCTCTGCATACTATGCCTCCATCCCGTTTCTCTTCTTTCCTCCTAGAAGTAATCAAAATCCAAAACTGCTATTCATCATTATTATGCCTTAGGACCTTACTACACATGTGGAGTTAAGTCAGTTTAAAAAAATTTTTTTGCAGTAAATTTTTATTTATTTGAGAGGAAGAGGAAAAGACGAAGTTTTCATTTGTTGGATCATTGCCCAGATGCCTGGAAGGGCCAGAAGCTGATGCAAGGAATTCAATACTGGTCTTCCACCTGGGTGACAGAAATCCAACTACTTGAGCCATCATCACCACCTCCAAGCATCCACATTAGGAAGAAGTTGGAATCAGGAACCAGAGCTGGGAGTTGTACTGAGGCACTCCAACATTGGACACGTGAGTCCTAACCAGTGCCTTAACCTCTAAGACAAATACTGCCATAAGTTGTCCTGAATGTTTCAACCTTATAAAATATTATACAGCATTCCTGTTTTTCTCATTCAACATCTTTCAGTATTGCATTAAGAAGCTATTCACAGGCTGGTGCTGTGGCATAGTAGACTAAATAAGCCTTTGCCTGAGGCATCAGCATCCTCTATGGGAGCCAGTTTGGTTCCCGGCTGCTTCTCTTTTGATCCAGCTGTTCATAGCCTGGTAAAGCAATGGAAAATGGCCCAAGTGCTTGGGCCTCTGCACCCACATGGGAGATGGCTTAGCCCTGGCTGTTACAGCCATCTAGGGAGTAAACCAACAGACAGAAGGTATCTCTCTCTCACTTTAATATTTTTTTAAAAACTTCATGATAGATTCTGTAAGAGACCAATGCTATTACGGCACTAATTCATCTAAAATCAAATACACAAATATATTTATAGCAGACAGCTGCTGTTTTGCTCACCCCCTTTCTTCTGATACTAACACCTCATTTCTCTTTAGGGAATTAATGTTCTCTCACTCTTAATCATGTATTTCTTAAAAGGCTGACCAAATTCCCAATCATAAAATGAACAAAAAGCTAAGCCAAGTCAGTCTGATAAAATTCAATTCCATCACTTTTTTGTTTTATCTTAAGGGCAGGAGATCTCCTTCTTTTAGGTAGGAAGTTAGATATGAGCTTATGTGTGTGTGACAGGCCTAAAGAGAAGATGTCTATGTACAGCATATACATCTGCATCTCAAAGTCATCCTGATAATATTTCAGGGGCAGCCTGGTATTCACATTCTGCCCTGCCCCCTTCTACCTGATAACCTGCCCCTTCCACCTGACAAATCTTCCACAATCTCCCAGATGCAGCCCAGTATCTGCATTTCAAACACCCTGCTCCGGACCCCCATTCTCTAGGGGGTCCTACTCACCCTTCCTCTGAACCCAGGATGGCGCCAGCCAGGCTTCCTCCTGTCTGATACCTTCAAGGGAAAACTCAGATAGGAGCTTCTTAATATTTACATCCATAAAATCCTTTGTTTCGGGAGGAGATGTGTGAAGACAAAGACCCATCTCCTTAAAAACCCCCGGCCTCAACCGGATGGCGCACTCAGCCCTCTGCCTCTCTGCTGAGCCGCCCGCCTGCCTGGCCAGGTGTAATCTCTCTACTCAACCATGTAACCTCGCTCCTTCCCTCCTCCCACCTCCACCCCGTCCAAGTGACAGCACTCTCTCTCAGGTCCTGTCTGGAGAGGTGCCCATCCATTCTTACGGTTGTCCCTACCCTAATAAACTTTGCTACCTTTTACTTTCCACTACTCTGTCTCACGCCTGAATTCTTTCTTGTGCAAAGACAAGAACCCTGCCATTCTCTGGTAACACTTCTACTGATGTTACTTAGCAGAAAAGAGAATAGGCTGATGGGCCTGGTGTTGTGGCATAACTGGGAGAGCTATCACCTTCGACGCTGACATCCTACATGGGTGCCAGTTTGAGTTCTGGATGCTTCACTTCTGATCCAGCTCCCTGGGAAAACAGCGGAACATGGCCCAGGGCTTGGACCCCTGCACCCTCATGGGAGACCCAGAAGAGGCTCCTGGCTCCTGACTTCAGTTTGGAAAGCCCTGGCTGTTGCAGTCATTTGGGGAGTGAACCAGCAGATGGAAGATAGATCACTCTCTGTCTCTCCCTCTCCGTAACTCTGCCTTTCAAATAAGTAAAATAAATCTTTAAAAATAAAGATAATCTGATAGTCATGTTTCCTGAAAAATTAAATACATCAAAATATTAACAAAAGATATCTTTGGGCCGGCGCCACGGCTCACTTGGCTAATCCTCTGCCTGCGGCGCCAGCACCCCGGGTTCTAGTCCTGGTCGGGGCACTGGGTTCTGTCCCGGTTGCTTCTCTTCCAGTCCAGCTCTCTGCGGTAGCCTGGGAGTGCAGTGGAGGATGGCCCAAGTGCTTGGGCCCTGCACCCGCATGGAAGACCAGAAGGAAGTACCTGGCTCCTGGTTTCGCATTGGCGCAGCGCACCAGCCGTAGCAGCCATTTTGGGGGTGAACCAACGGAAAGGAAGAACTTTGTCTCTCTCTCTCTCTCTCACTGTCTAACTCTGCCTGTCAAAATATATATATATACATATGTATATATATTTAAAGAAAGGAGATATGGGTAGTATTTTCTGTCTTCAACCTAAGGTTGCACTTTTTTTTTCTTTCAATTTTGCAGTCTATTCCTTAAAAAGACTATTTATTATATAATAGGCTCCTTAAGTGAAATAAAAGTTAACAACACTAGTAAGAAATAAGAAAATAACTTACTAGTCCCTTCTCTGTGACTAAATTCCCCTTAGCAAAATACAAACATGGAGGTAGGAGGTGGAAAGCACTTATCACTGAGAGTATCATCCTCAAAACCCAGACTAGACATATCAAAGAGTATGCATTGTATGTGGGAGAGAATCTGCAGGCAGATCTACATACAAGTTGTACCAATTAAGGTAGAGGTAATTAGGACAAAGTAGATATCATCACTTGTCAACTACCTAACTTCTTTAAACTGAAAACATTTGCTATGAGTTTTTCCATAGAATATCATGCACAGATCAAAAAAATTAAGACAACATTTAGCACACATTTCTTAAATGCTCATTATAGTGACAGCAAGCCCTCTGGCAGAACAACCACAAACTACTGGTTAATACTAGTCAAGCTAGATTCCATCATCAAAACATTCTTTGATCCACGTAATGAGATTCTCAATGGAAAGGATAAATGAAGGCAATATCCCACCTTTCAAGGTCTGTTTGAGCTTCCTCTCAATCCTGCCCTCAGTTCCATTATGATTAGACTGCAAGACTATCAAAATACCTCTCTTCAAGAAAAAGGGAGAGCAACAGTGTCATTCAGGAGTGGTTTCACTAAACGTCCTCTCAGACCAGCCTACCTGTCCAAAGTGAGCAGGGTAGCCAAGCATGTGCATATACAGTAATTTTGCCACATTCCGACATCGGTATGTATTGTCTTCTTCTCTAAAAGATGAACGGATTGCAGCACATTCTTTCTGGATCATTTCTCGTTCTTCGGCTTGGGTTCTAGCTGTCCGGATGGTCCGGATCAGCTCCCGCAATCTGATGGGGGCTGGCATCCTCTGGATATGGAAAGACATTAAACAGAGATGTTGACATGTTTTTATTACCAAAAGCATTCAAACAGCTTCTCAAACTTTTGGCTGATTTTTTAAAAAAAGATTTATTTGCTTGAAAGAAAGAGTTACAGAGAGGTAGAGGTAGAGGTAGAGGTAGAGGTAGAGGTAGAGGGAGAGGGAGAGGGAGAGGGAGAGGGAGAGGCAGAGGCAGAGGCAGAGGTAGAGGTAGAGAGAGAGTCTTCCATCCACTGGTTCACTCTCCAAATGGTCGCAAGGGCCAGAGCTGGGCAGATCCAAAGCCAGGAGCCAAAGGACTAGGGCCATCTTCTACTGCTTTCCCAGGCCATAGCAGAGAGCTGGATCAGAACTGGAGCAGTCAGGACCGGAACCAGCACCCATATGGGATGCCGGTACCAGAGGTAGCAGCTTTATCCGCTATGCCACAGTGCCGACCCCTGTTTTTCTTTTCTAAGATTTATTTTGTTTGAAAGGCAGAATGACAGAGCAAGACACAGAGAGTAAGAGATCTTCCATCTGCTGTTCACTCCCCAAATGGCCACAACAGCTGGAGCTGCACCTATCCAAAGCCAGGAGCCATGAGCTTCTTCCAGGTCTCCGACACCAGTGCAGGGGCCCAAGCACTTGGGCTATCTTCTACTGCTTTTCCAGGCCATAGTATAGAGCTGGATTGGATGTGGAGCAGCTGGGACACAAACCAGCACCCATATGGGATGCCGGCACTACAGACCCGGTCTTTAACCCATTGCACCACAGCGCCGGCCCCTCAATTAACTTTCAACAAGGAGACAACGTTACTCAACAGAAGAAAAGGTACAATTAATTTTTATGTGTTTATTTTACTTATCTGAAAAACATATCAAATATACTGGTTCATTCCCACATGCTACAATACAACAGCAGGGACTAAGCCAGGCTGAAGCCAGAAGTTGGGAACTTGTTTGATCCAGGTTTCCCACATGGGTAGTCAGAGCCCCAATTACATGAGCCATCAAATGCTGCCTCCAAGGGCATGCACTTGTACAAAGCAGAAACGAAAACAGAAGGAGGACTTAAACCTAGGCACTCCAATGTAGAATACTAGAGTCCCAACAGCACCTTAACCCCTAAGCCAAACACCTGCCCTGAAACAACAGTCCTCTAAAGAGTGATGTTAGCACAACTAGACCTATATTGATTTGAAGGCAGGGCGAGGTAGGGTGAGGGCATTTAAACTCAACCCTCCCTAAGTTCACACAATATAAAGACAAATTCGAACTGGGTGATAGAACTAAACATCAAAGCTAAAGTTAAAATCCTCCAGTAGAAAACACAGGAAAAAAAATTTTTGTCAACTTAGGTTAAACGGAGACTTCATACACAATCATAGAGCATAAAGAAAAACATGACAGACTATAAAATCTGAAGTTTTGGCACCTCAGAAGATACCTTTATAAAAATGAAAGCCACAGAAAGAAAAAAGCATTCACAATACCTAAATGACAAAGGATTTGTATTCAGAATATATAAATTTGACAACTCACTTATGACAATCATTTACAAGTGGGTAAAGGGACAGATACTAAACAGGGCAGTTAACACGCTGTCTGGGATGCCCACAACCCACACAAGAGTACCTAGGTCTGAGTCACAGCTCTGTTCCTGATTCCAGCTTCCTGCTAATGGACACCCTGGTAGGAAGCAGGTGATAGCTCAAGTACTTGGGTCCCAGCCACTCATGTGGGACATCTGGACTGAGTTCTTAGCACCTGGCTTCAACCTAGCCCAGCCCCAAATGTAGCAAGCATTCGGGGAATCCACTAGTAGATGAATGATCTCTTTCTCTTTCAAATAAACTACAGTAATCAAGCCAAAATTTTAAAGTGGGTAAAAGATATAAACAGAACATCCTCAAAAAAGGATACATTAATGGTCACAAGCACACAAAGCATTGTTTAACATCATTAGTTAGCAGGGAAATGCAAATTAAAATCATAAGATACCTCATACCTTCTACATCATTAGAAGGGCTAAAATTGAACACTGACCAGGGACAAGCAGTTAACATGCTAGTGTCACTCATCAGAGTACCCCCAGGTTCACTACCTGGTACCAGTTCCTGATTCCAGCTTCCTGTTAATCTGGACCCTAGAAAGCAACAGGTAATGAAAGGTGATGGCTCAAGTAATTAGGTTGCTGCCACCAATGTGAGAGAGAACTGGACTGAATTCCTGGCTCATGGCCTGATCTGGCTCATCCCCAGCTGTTGCAGTCCACTGGGTATTGAACCAGCAAATGGAAGCTCCTTGTCTTTCCAAAAGGGGCAGGGTGGGGGGGAGACTAGTCATACCAAGTATTGTTTTTTTTAATTTTATTTATTTTTTATTTTTACAGGCAGAGTGGACAGTGAGAGAGAGACAGAGAGAAAGGTCTTCCTTTGCCGTTGGTTCACCCTCCAATGGCCGCCGCGGCTGACGCGCTGCAGCCAGCGCACCACACTGATCCGATGGCAGGAGCCAGGTACTTCTCCTGGTCTCCCATGGGGTGCAGGGCCCAAGCACTTGGGCCATCCTCCACTGCACTCCCTGGCCACAGCAGAGAGCTGGCCTGGAAGAGGGGCAACCGGGACAGAATCCAGCGCCCCAACTGGGACTAGAACCCGGTGTGCTGGCGCCGCAAGGCGGAGGATGAGCCTAGTGAGCCGCGGCGCCGGCCCAAGTATTGTTAACAGAAATAAAATAGTTCAACTACTCTGGAAAGCAATTTGAATTTTCTATAAATTTGAACATACACTCAAGAAGTAAACACAAGTGTTTATCCAAGAGAAGTAGCTACCCACGAAGAACAAAAATGTGCTCTCACCAAGACTTGCACAGGAATGCTGACTGAAACTTGATTTACAACTGTCAAAAACTAGAAACAACCCAAATGTCCATTAACAGGTAAATTGCCAATGCTGTACCCATACAATTAAATACTTTTCAGAATAACACAGAGCAATTCACAACATGTAAGAGTCTCAAAAACATTCTGTTAAGGGGTGGGCGCTGTGGTGTAGTGGGTAAGGCCACCACCTGCAGCGCCGGCATCTTATATGGGCGCCACTTCCAGTTCCGGCTGCTCCACTTTCGATCCAGCTCTCTGCTATGGCCTAGGAAAGCCGTAGAAGATGGCCCAAGTCCTTGGGCCCCTGCACCCGCATGGGAGACCCAGAGGAAGCTCCTGGCTCCTGGCTTCAGATCAGCTCAGCTCGGGCCGTTGCAGCCAACTGGGGAGTGAGCCAGAGGATGGAAGACATCTCTCTCTCTCTGCTTCTCCTCCTCTCTCTGTGTAACTCTTTAAAATGAATACATAAATCTTTCTTTAAAAAAAAATCTGTTCAGCAAAACAAGAGGCACAATTTCTTTGGACCAAAATAAACTAATCTCTTAATTCCATTTTCCACAATTATTTGAAGTACTCTTATATGTATATTATATCTCAACAAAGTTAAGAAAATTAAAATTATAAAATATACAAAGCTATTTATATGCTTGTTTTTGTTATTTTTTAATAGAAACACTCAAACATCTAGTGTTTAAAATATACAATTTATACTCATTGTCTAATTTGCTCCTCAGACCTTTTTGAAGTAAGAGTAGAAATTTTTACCACTATTTTGCCAATGAAGAAACAGAGCAAGTATGCAACCTGCTTAAGACCACAAAGACAGTAAACTAACACAGCTACCACCTGAACCAGGTCTTAAAACTCCAAGGCCAGGAATTCTCTCAATACTTCAAAAACAAACATTAAATTTATAGATGAAATTACATGAAGCCGGTGCCACGGCTCAATAGGCTAATCCTCTGCCTTTGGCGCCAGCACACCAGGTTCTAGTCCTGGTTGGAGCGCCGGATTCTATCCCGGTGGCTCCTCTTCCTGTCCAGCTCTCTGCTGTGGCCCGGGAATGCAGTGGAGGATGGCCAAAGTGCTTGGGCCATGCACCTGCATGGGAGACCAGGAGAAGCACCTGGCTCCTGGCTTCGGATCAGCGCGGTACGCCGGCCGCATCGGCCATTGCGGGGTGAACAAATGGAAAAAAGGAAGACCTTTCTCTCTCTCTCTCTCTCTCTCACTGTCCACTCTGCCTGTCAAAAAAGAAAAAAAGAAATTACATGATTGCCGGGATTTGTTTTAAAATACTCCAGGTGGGGTCTGGGCAGCAGGTTAAGCCACAGCCTGTGGCGCCAGCATCCCATATCAGTACTGGTTGGAGTTGTGGCTGCTTCACTTTAATCCATCTCTTTGCTAATGCCCCTGGGAAAGCAGTGAAAGATGGCCCAAATGCTTGAGCCCCTGCAACCATGTGGGAGACCTGGAAGAAGCTCCTGGCTTCAGCCTAGCCCCGCCGTGGCTGTTGTGATAATTTGGATAATGAACCAGCAAATGGAAGCACTCACTCACTCTGCCTCTCCCTCTCTGTAACTTTGCCTTTCAAATAAATAAACAAATCTTAAAAAAAAAAAAATACTCCAGGAAAAAAGATCTTGAGGGTTGGTGTTGTGGCACAGGGGGTTAAGCTGTCGCCTGCCATGCCAGCATATCATATGGGAGCCAGCTCAAGTCCCAGCTATCCACTTCCACTCCAACTCCCTGCTAACGTACCTGGGGAGGCAGTGGAAGATGGCCCAAATACTTGGGCCTCTGCACCCTTGCAGGAGACCCGGATGTAATTTCAGGTTCCTAGCTTCAGCCCAACCCAGCCCCCGCTGTTGTAGCCACTTGAGGAGTGAACCAGCAGATGGAAGATTTGACTCTGTAACTCTGCCTTTCAAATAAATCTTTTTTTAAAAGTCTTGAGGAGAACAGAGAAAAGGGGGGGGGGTCAAACTAGATGGGTAAAATGTTGATCACTGCTGAGGTAGTATGAGTACATGAAAGTATATTATACTATTCTCTGCTTTCATGTATATTTGAAATTTTTCACAATCAAAAACTTTAGAAGTCATAAAACTTCAATAAAT